AAACGATTGTTCTAAGATACGGTCGCGGTGATTCCTCAATAAACGATTATTTCTTAGTTAAGCCGCCTTTCACCCATGACTTTTGATAAAGCGACGGAACAATGGCAATGGTACATACACACCGTCCATCCGGTAGTTCTCTACGATAAACTGGTTCTTACGTAATCGTGATAGAACGAGGCAATTGGTACATTCCGCGGTTTCGGAGATGGCCACACGACACGTTCATGATGAATTACGTTGAATACAGTTGAATGCAAACAAGAAAACTAATAGGAATCCAATAGGATTACATTATTTCACTTACATTTTGTTGCGGGTCGCAAAAGGTTATTGATACTGCAATCCTTTGAGTGATTGGTCACACTTTTATATTACACCACGATTATATTTAGTAGGTAGTATTATTAGGTATATTATTGAGAATAAAACTAGTTTTTACGGGTTAATGCACGAAACTTTATTTATTTATTGACGTTTCGCAGCCTTTTCAGGTCTGCGTCGTCAGAATAATGATTTTTAAAAAAAATCAAAAAAAAATAATCATTATTCTGACGATGCAGACCTGAAAAGGCTACGAAACGTCAATAAATAAATAAAGTTTCGTGCATTAACCCGTAAAAACTAGTTTTATTTAATGAGTGATGTGCGTGAAAACCTAAGAAACAAATATATTATTGAGAAGCTCGATGGCGTAGGTGGTTAGCGCGTTCGGCTGCGATCGTTGAATTTAAGCAACTTTCGCAGTGGTCGGTCATTGGATGGGTGACCAAAAATCTTCTATGTCTAGTTCCGTGCTTCGGAAGGTACGTTAAATCGTTGGTCCCCGCTGCATCTGCAGTCGTTAGCATCCACCAATCCGAACTGGGCCCGCGTGGTGTGTCGTGGCCCAATCTATTCCATTCATAGGGAAGGCCTGTGCCCCAGCAGTGGGGACATTAATAGGCTGATGATTAGTATTCTATTGTAGTAGGTATTACGAAGTATTGTTAGTTGATGGCGGAAGAAGCTTTTAAGTATTTGACTTGATTGATGAACACAAATACGTGTCTCCTCATCAAGAGTCAAACAGTAGGTAATACAAATATTATGATTTTTATTATTTTTAAAGCATGTAACTGCTTGATGTTTAAATCTAAAGAAAATATAACTAAAAAAAACTAGTTAATCATAACTATAATTGCTATTTCTTCTTTAAAATGTTTAATACTTGTAAAAGTATTCATTTGACATTGTGGGTTACCTACAATGCGAAGAGATGGCGCTGCCTTGCAGCTTAAGAATGACTAGAAGAATTTCGACGTGGTCCGTGAGGGCCGCGGTAGCATAATTGGTCAGTGCATTCGCCCGGATTGCGAAGGGTCCGGGTTCGAGTCCCGTCTGCTGCCTGGTCCGCGTGGAATTTTTTCTAATACAAATATTGTTTATACATATACGTTACCTGTCTCTTGAGTTTGCATCGTAACTAAAAGCTCTGCTCAGTCTGGATTATCTTAATATAGCATATTTGTAGCTTTTATTTCGGAAAATAGTTCCCCAGTTATAAAAATACTGAGTCCAGGTAGATTAAGTTGATTAAGTTAAACTTGAAAGTTAAAAACAACATGATCAATATACTTACATAATTCAAAGTAGACAGATACCTATCTAATCACTTTGAATTACGTAAATTACTAGCTGTGCCCCGCGGTGTTACCCGCAGTGTTACCCGCGGTTTATTAGGGATATTTACCCGCAGTAAACCGTAGGCTATGTGTTAATCCAGGGTGGCAGCTAACTCCACACCAAATTTTATTAAAAGCGCTCCAGCCGTTTAGTGTCGCCGCACACGGGCCACCGACCACAACCACAAAACGCCGCCACCGGCATATTTCTTGTAGTTTTCATGCATTGTATATGAACTCGCCACACACGGTACGCCGGTGGCCTCCACACGCTACAAATCGTCGTTGCTCGCTTGTGGCCCGCACCGGCCACTTAATGCACAAAACGCCGCGACACGTCACTCGCGCGATTCCCCACCCCACTCTCCCTTACCTTAGACGGCCTCTGCCGCGCGCTTCAGCCACTTTAGCACAGAGTACCTTATTATAACCGGAAAACTTTAGTAGCCGCTTCTAGCTTCTCGTGGTGGCGTTTGTGGCTGTGGCGTGTGGCCCGTGTGCGGCGACACTTAGACGTGTAGAAGTAACAAACATACACACTCAAAAACTTTCGCCTTTATAATATTAGTGTGATTGTGGGCACTAAACATACCTTTTTCCCTTTACTTTTATTAAAGAGGCATGGATTATCCCCCAGGCAGGGTTACCATTTAAAATTTTGAAAAGTTCTGACAAAAAGCCGGACATTTCGATAAAAGTCCCGACATACATATAAGTCACAAAATGCAAACATCACCCACTTAGTTACAGTGATGTAATACGCGTGGTGGCAGACGCCCGCATCGCGAGGGGGGTCTGGATGTTGATTTTTAAAGATGATTTATATTTTGTTTTAAATTAATGAGAACTTAATAAAGATTATTTGACTTATTTGATATAACTTAATAAGTAGTTTTACTCATATTCCATATAATTAAGTTAATCCGGACAAATTAAAAAGCCGGACAAAAGGCAAAAAATCAGCGATTTACTCTCGGAGTAAATGTTATGCTGAGTTTCCGCCCATTCGCATCGCTGCTGCACACGAAGATATCAGTATAGTTGTATAAATATAATTTGTTGTATGTTTTAAAGGATTTATATAATTGTAAAATTTGTCTTCAATTTTGTATGTGTGCATGTTGGTGTGAATAAAGTTTTATCTATCTAAAAAAAAGTCCGGACGTGTCCGGACAAATGCGGACGAATGGTAACCCTACTCCCAGGTGACTTTTAAGTTCGTGCCGAGACTGTTACCTGAATACATTAATAACCCTACATAGCAGTCGCTTCTCACTTTAAAAAACGGTTTAAGAAATCGTAAACACAAACGACAAATACTCCTTCTTTTGCATAGCACGTATAATGTTTACCATCTATTTATGTAAAGTCAAAAACCTGCTACATTTATACCTCTAAAGATAATCTATATATATAAAACTCAAAAGTGACTGACTGACGGACATAGTGATCTATCCACGCACAGCCCAAACCACTGGGCGGATCGGGCTGAAATTTGGCAAGCAGGTAGATGTTATGAAGTAGGCATCCGCTTAGAAAGGATTTTGATCAATTCTAACCCCAAGGGGATAAAATAGGGAATGAAAGTTTTTATGAAACTTTGTCAATTTTAAGACGATCGGGCTGAGACTTTGCATGCAGGTAAAAGAAGAATCATAGATGAATGCCATTGTGTATAATACAAGCCTGAGAACAAAAACTGTAGTCTACACTTCAGCTCTACACCGGAGCGAAGCGAGGGCGGGCCGCTAGTTTTACTATAAAATGTTCAGCTGCTTGCCGTTCTGACTACTTGAGTTTTTTCACTAAGTAAAATTGTCTTTGTTAGTGTGTATAAGTTGACAAAAACAACAGTGACATGATTATTTAGACATATTCTACGAAGAGCGCGAGAGTATCTAAACCACATTCCCGGCGACGTATTTTTTCAACTTCCAAAGCTCCAGTCGCAAAGGTTAAACGGAAAATGTTTAGTGCCTAGCTCATGTATGCATCATAGAGCAAGGTCGACTAGTGGTATGCCGGACTCGGATATTTTGGAAATGTATACCTAGTACATTACCCAAGCAATTGAAAGAAAACTGGCGGGGGTCACACTGATAGACAGAAAAACCGGTTAAGTGCGAACCGGACTCGCGCAAGTCGTGCACGAAGGGTTCCGTAACCAAAAGTGCAAAAAATCACGTCTTTTGTATTTGTTGAGAGCCCCCCTTACATATTGATTTTATTTTAATTTAATTCATCATCATCATCAGCCTATTAATGTCCCCACTGCTGGGGCACAGCCTTCCCTACGGATGGAATAGGGAGATTGGGCCATGACAGTGCGGATTGGCGGGTGCTAACGACTGCAGATGCAGCCGGGACCAACGGCTTAACGTGCCTTCCGAAGCACGGAGGAACTCGAGATAGAAGATTTTTGGTTACCCATCCAATGACCAACCACTGCCAAAGTTGCTTAACTTCAACGATCGCAGCCGAATGCGCTAACCACCCGCGCCATCGAGCTCCTCGAGTTTAATTTGATTATTTATTTTTAAAGTGAATATTAACTTAATATTCTATGAATGTTTTAAGTGTCTACCTGTTGCCATTATGAATATAGAGCGAATAAAAAAAATGGCAAAAATACAATATATTTTTAACATTTTTATAGCAGCAACAGAAATACATCATCTTTGAATATTTTAACTGTAACTATCCCGGTTCATGAATTACAGCCTGGTGGCAAACAGACAGACAGACTGACAGAAAGCGGAGTCTTAGTAATAGGATCCCGTTTTTACCCTTTGGGTACGAAAGTCTAAAAAGGAACATTTGGCTGGGTAAGAAAAGTAGGGACACCGATGTTATCAAGCGAATCATAAAACTCAAGTGGCAGCGGGTTGGCCATATTGCAAGCAGGCGAGATTCGTGGTGTAAAGCACTCATAGAATGGAGACCGTGGGGTGAGGAAAGCCCCCAACGAAGACCAAATATGCGTTGTTACGACGACACCGAAAGAACAGCTGGGTAGGAATGGGTAGAAAAAGCCCCAAAACCGAGAACAATGGCACAAAATGAAGGAGGCCTATACCCCCGCGGAGACACCACGCTAAAAAGAAGATACCCTAACTTTACCTGATATGGTCCCGGGGAGATTTTTTTTAATATTACCGGGAAAATTGCAATTTGTATATTATTGGATATTTTGAAACTACCAGCAACACATTTCTAGTTAGGACTCGGTAGATATACTAGCACAAACACATACTAGCACGTAGACAACTTTGCATAGCTTTGAAATTAATCCTGTCCTTTATTAATAAGAGTTTATAATCAAAATTTGTGTTTCAGGTGTATTAGCTGCTCAAGTGCCTGAGAATCCATCTCTGAGCAAGGGGCGTGCCGGGCGGTTCCAGCGCAAGGTGCTGGTCTCCTCGAGGCGAGTGTCTAGCACCGCTGCCCCCGACCTCACGCCTAGTCCGTCCCCTCCCGTCCCCTCCGCTGACCCCGTCCCCGCTGATCTAGTCCCCACTGAAAAATCTCCCTCCCCTGCCCCTGACCTCACCCCTGCTCCCAGCTCTCCGCCTACCTCTGAGCAGCCATCAACTTCCGCTCCCTCATCTGAGACCAAACAACCAGCTGCCCCCGCAGCCACCGCCAAAAAGGGGGCTGACAGCTCAAGGGCGACCCGCAGCGCAGCCATCGCAGAACAGGATCGCTGGATCCGCTTCGTAAAAGGTATGTTGTTTTTACGTATGTCGTCAACAATTCTATTTATCTCATTGTTGTGTTTTGAAACGGTCGCATGTGGGACCGGACTTATCCGGACATGTCCGGTTGTCTATAGACCGGACTTTGTCCGGATCTTTAATAATAATAATAATCATTTATTTGCCAAAATATGGTTACAATAGTTGTTAGCTGTTTAGTTTCCAGCATATTTTGTTGAATGTCACCGTGCAAATATTACATAATATAGAAGACAATTAAATTAATGTGGTTCAGTGACGTCAAAATAAATAAAATTAATTTAAAGATAATAGTTATACGCAATGTCACAAAAAAAAGTACTTATAATCTATTCATAATTAAAAAGTATTTAATTTATTCTGTCAGGATTTTTAAATAACATTGAATTGGAATAATAAAATTACATATTGATTTAAATACCATACCTACCATTGTAACTAAATGAGTATTGGTACCATTTTGTGACTAAAAAGTCCGGTCTTTTTTCAAAATGTCAGGATTTTTTTTCAGCACTTTTGAATTTCCTTAATGGCCCTAGTCGCATGGCAATAATAGATCTAGAAAAGATAATGTACTGTAAAGGATCGATCGACTTCACGTTTATTATATGTTTCAGATTATGTGAGTGGTGCTGACATGGGTATTAATATTCCTGACTGGAGCAAGACACCACTCAAAGTAGAACTACCAGTTGGTAATTATCCTCAATGTTCACTATTTATAACATTATTTTCCACACAAAGTAATAAGCGCATTAATATTCATTATTATATTTTTTAAAACACAAAATAAGCGCTTGTTTGTTTGTTATTCTCATATTAACAAAGGACACACTTCTGTGATCAAGTCTAGCTGTGCTGCATTTAGTCCACTCGTTCAGATTATAATGAGGACACAGTAAATATGGCCTGCGTTGCGCTTGCGCAATAAGCGTAACGCTCTGTTTCGTTCTTAAACTTGATCACAGTACAGTGCAACACAGTTCAGTACAGCTCAATGTTGATTGATCCCTCTTAGTCTAGTTTTCAATAATAAGGATTTCGATGTGCAGTTGGACAGAAAGGTGGTCGCAGCTCCAAAGTACCAGTGTTCGTGCTGCCAGTGCCTGTGCCCATATCAGTCGATCGTGAGTATAAAGACTATTTGTATAGCAACCAAAATAGAAACTGGCTTCAAGTATGATGGCGATTAAACATGATTACTTGTTGTTTTAGAGTGCCCTGCAGACGGAGACAGAAGAAATGATCGACCGCATTCACCGAATGATGAGCCTCGCCAAAGGTATCCCGAGCCCCCGCGACTTAACTTGCGGCGGCCAATCAAATATGATGAGTCTCGCAAACCGACCGGCTTCGAAAAACCGAGACGGCCTCCGGCTGAAGACAATCCCCGTGACCCTAGTTACCTTGCGCCTTATGAGGAACCTTCTCGTCGTCCCAGTTACGAAGAGCAACCGCGCCGTCCCAGTTACGAAGACCCACCGCGCCGTCCTAGTTACGAAGAGCCACCACGCCGTCCCAGTTACGAAGATCCACCACGCCGACCCAGTTACGATGAACCACCACGGCGTCCCAGTTCTGAAGAATCACCACGCCGTCCCAATTACGAAGAGCCACCACGCCGGCCCAGTTACGAAGAGCCACCACGCCGTCCCAGTTACGAAGAGCCACCACGCCGTCCCAGTTATGATGAACCACCACGCCGACCCAGTTACGATGAACCACCACGCCGTCCCAATTACGAAGAGCCACCACGCCGACCCAGTTACGAAGAACCTCGGCCAGCCCCGTTGGATGAGTCACCCCGCGAACCCTTTCGCGATGACTACGACCGGCGCCCGGTGCATCCACTCCGACCGAGCCCATTTATCAAACCGGACAGGGAGCCCTATTCCCGAAACCCTCCTACCATGCGTGCAGGTTAGTTATTCAACGTTTTATGATTTTCTTCAAAATTTCTCTCATTACATTGATGTTTCGTCTTATCGTCCTGATTTATTAGCATTATTTGATAAGTCAGAAATTGTATATTTGAATACGTAAATAAAATTAATGTTTTATCGGTGATCTTCAGGTGCTCCCGTGAGTTCGGACGTGCTGTTGAATTTGTTCCGCAAGCAGCAGCCGCGTGCGCCTCACCTGCCGCCCGTGCTGACCCGCCACCGGCGCCACACGGAGCCCCCCCCACCGCTGCTCCCCCTCAAGCCCGGACAGATCGCCCTCTTCGCCGAGCCCCCTCGCCCGCGCTTCGACCGCCCCTTGGTAGTGCGCGGCGAACTCACGGTCCACCGCGCCGACTATACAGAACCCTACATCGCTTGGTGAGATGAGATTTTCACCGTAAACAATTTTTGGTTATCTGGTTTATCTGAAAATTGTAACGACAAACTATGAATAGTAGAAATATGAATGTCAGCATTGAGTTTTCGAAATTGTATGCCTGCTTCTCATTAATGAACCACCTACGTACACGTTTGTCTAGGTGGGACCCCGTCACTGGCAATTCTCGTGTCGACTTCCACGATGGTGCCACCCGGACGTACCGCACGGTACAAGGAGGTAGAGTTCAGAGGATTGCCGTAAGTACCTGTTCCAGCGCCTGAAGTATTTTCAGAGCCGTGATCTGGATATTGCTGACGCTGACGTTTGTTTGCAGATGAGCTACGACCGCACCGGGGAGAAGGACGTTCGCCGGTGTTCCACGATGCAGAGCTCGCAGATACCGCTCGATCTTATGCCGCCCGTTCTACCTCAGATGGAGCTCTTCTCATTCCACAGTAAGATTTCCTTATTGCAATAATTTTTCAGTATAAAGCAGTATTTATTCTGTGATAATTTCATTGTTAGATTCATGTTAGATCGCAGCTGCGTGTTGTTTTGTTGCATAATAATTAAATTGTAAAATTGGCTATTGGTTAATCCTTATTCGTTTCACATGATATCTAAATGGTGATAATAGAAGATAGATTGAAATCCCAGCGAATTATTATTGTTCCAATTTAGGTCTCCTGCAGATGGGAGACACTCCGACGGAACGGTGGAAGCACACAGTGACATCCAGTGGGCCAAACGGGGAGCAGATCACACACAACCACGACATGTTGCTGACGCGTCTCAGCAATGCCACCGCCGTACCTCTACTGTGAGAATAATGAAATTCTAATAACAATTATGTCAGGACAACTTCTGAATAATCCTATAAGTAACTCACTCGCTACGCTAAAAAGATATTTCCTCTTTATTTCTAAAACAAAAAGTTTTTCATTTTTTACATAATTATAATCTCTTACACGGAAACATCAAGAGTTCATCTGGCACGTGAGATCCCCTTAATAAACGAAAAGTTTGTAATACACACATCAAAAGTGTCTAGGGATCAACATATATTTTTGCAATAACTTTTCTCCTGATTGATATTAATTAAAATTTTCTTTAAGGATTCATCAAATAAAGTGTTTTCGTTTGTCACAGTAACGATAAACCAAGTCACCTTTGCATTAATAAAGAAATTTGCCATTTTCCTAATAAAGGGATTTTTGACATTTGAACCACTAACACAAAAGTTCGAAAAAAAGACTGAAATAACAGTTTTCTCTAAAATTTTATTGGGTAACTTAAACAATTAATAATCCGTATTTCTACCGCAAACACTAACAACACAAGAACATCGGTTTGGCATACTCAAAATGAGTTCATCCAAATCACGCTGTGGAATGGCCGCCCATGTTCGTTGCAACAACAAAAAAAGGTCTTCTTGCGACTGGATACCCTCCATATTCGGCAGAGCTCTTCTCTGTAGCATATCCCATGCATGCTCAATCGGGTTCAAGTCTGGCGACTGAGCAGGCCAGGGCAGGACATTGATGTTAGCTGCGGCGAGAGTCTGTCTTACAACTCTTGCGGTGTGCGGTCGTGCATTATCATGCATTAACTGAAATAAGGGACCGATTTGCACTTGTAGAGGAATGATGACGTCTGATACAATCGTCTCAGCATAAATTTGAGCGTTGAGGTTGCCTCTGATCCAAATCAACTCAGTTCTTCCGCCGATCCAAATACCCGCCCATACCATGATGGTTCCACCACTATAAGGATGGACTTCCTGGCAGGATTTTAATCGCTGTTGGCGTCCAGGGGTTCTCCAGTGTCGTATACGTCTTGTATCCGGTCTCATACCAAAACGAGACTCATCAGAAAAGCACACGAAACGCCATTGTTCTTCTGCCCAATTTCTGTGTTCAAGAGCCCATTGATATCGAATCCTACGATTGTGCATTGCTATAGGTGGTACCCGTAGCGGTTTTCGGGAATGAAGGTTCACTTCATGCAAGCGGTTTCTGACTGTTTGGTCGCTAATTAAGTTCCCTGAAGAGTGATGAAGCCTCACGGCTAACATCATGGCGGTTATTGTTGGAGCTCTTCGAGTTAAGATTTGAATGTATCGGTCTTGTCTCCGTGTGGTGCAGCGATACCGTCCTCCATGGCGCTCAGCCACGGTACCAGTGCTTCGGTATCGTGTCCAAAGTCGACTGATAACACTCTGACTTGTATTCAGAGCTAAAGCCACAGTACGTTGCCGGGAACCAGCTTCTATCATTCCCACGGCTCTGAGCATTTCTTCCCTGCTTAAATGACGTCGCCGCTCCATAATAACGTTGGTTTTAATCAGTAGTAGGGAAACAGTAGCACTAATAATGTCTTCAATGCGTTGTATGTTTTTATAGGGAAAATATTGACAGCTGATTTTCATCTTTTACTCGAATTTGATTCACAGTTCCTGATTCAAATTATGAAATGCACCAAAAAGGATCCATATAAATTTATAAAATCATAAATTTATTACAAAGCCACATCTCAATCTCAAGAAATCCGCATAAAAATGCTTGATCCCTAGACACTTTTGATGTGTGTAGTTATGCTGTGTATTGAATTACATCATTCGGATGGCGTTAGTAAATTCGCAATATTTTAGCCTTTGTTTTTTAATAAGAATTAGAAGGTTTAAATTTTTTACTAATATTTTATGTTTCGCCGTTTAAAGCTATAGTATTGTTGGGAACCGGGTCGAGTAATAGATAAAAAACCGGCCAAGTGCGAGTCGGACTCGCGTACCGAGGGTTCCGTACAAAAATATTCAAAAATATTTTTTATTTTATGATGTAACTAAAAATTTACGGTTTTCGCAATTTTTGCTTTATCTGTACTATAAGACGTTACTTCGTACCAAATTTCAAGATTCTAAGTTCACGGGAAGTACCCTGTAGGTTTTGATTCCCGTGCGAGTTTCGAAAATTTGCGGCATAAATGGCTGTATCGTTTGATTGCTTTGGCTTAGAAGTTTGATTTTTTCATAGCTCCAAGGGACAGTAGACCTGAGTATAAGGTATGAATTTCAGTTTGATACCTCCACGCGTTCCTGAGAAAAACGGTCTTGACAGACGGACGGACGGACGGACAGACGGACAACAAAGTGATCCTATAAGGGTTCCGTTTTTTCCTTTTGAGGTACGGAACCCTAAAAATTATGTTTTTTCCTGCAGTTACGAGGTGTCGGTGGATAGTTCCGTGTTGGGCAAGGACTGCGACCGGTACCTGCACCGCTACCTCTTGGTCCAGGAGTTTCTGCCCGACGCAAACAGATTCAATGTTGATATCAGTAAGTGTCTTTAACACACAAGCCAATCATGATTACTGTGCTCTGTACGCTCGTGGTCATCTCGAACACTAGAATGGATTACTTGAGCTTGACGGACATATTGGTGAAGGTACTGGCGTTCATTGAAGTTCCCGGATGAGTCCTGCATGTAAATAAACCCTTGCTGTGTGATGTATATAGGACAAATAAAGCACTTATGATTAATATATGAAATTGTCGTTTATAACAGATAGCGAATGTGACACAACAGGGGAGACCTGGGATATGGCGGCGGTGGACCCGATGCGCGAGTTTACTCTGCCGCAACAAGACCCCAAATACGACGAGCTGTTCGAAAAGTTTGTTCTATTCTCATGGACTATCTTTTTCTTTTTATTTAATTGTAATTCAACATTGCAATATTAATTAGTTCATTATTTCACTGCACGATTTCCTGACACGTTGAGTGTGTCTAAAATGTCCCACTCGTGATGCGCCTTCGATATTTTTTTTCCATACTTCTCTAACGTGAAAAGGTTTATATTTTAATTTGGATATTTTTGAAGTTATACTTCTTTAGCCGCGTTATGAAAAAATTATGAGAGTGAAATTTTAAAATGCGCGCGCATCACTGTAACACAATAGTAACACCATGAAGTTGGCCGCGGGCGCGTTATGAATGTTAGTGTCTAATAATGGTGGATTATTAACCACTTAGTGGTTAATAATCCACCATTATTAGACATCTGTTCGAAAGGTACTTTGAACGATCCACGGAGCTCCATAAGATGATCGCGTTGTCAAAAACAATGTTGGCACGCTCGTCGCCTCTGATCACTGTATTCATATTTATAATATTTATCCACATGTTTCTAGTTTCTATATAGACACAACGTGTTTTAGTTACTTACAAGTGCTAATTACATATGGACTAATAACTAAATTCAGTAGTGATTTTAATTGAATATTTTGAATATTTATTTAATTTTTCAAATTATAACTGAACTTAATTGACTGTGTTAACTATCCTTTTCCAGTCCTTTTATTATTTTATTGTAATTATTAATTATTTGCATGCAATTAAAAAATATTTTTAATGATGCTAAAGAAGTATAACTTCTCACGCGGCGCGTACATAAGTTACACGCATCCATTTTTTTTTGAAGGAAAACATTATCTAAAATGTTATGTGGTATTGAACCAGGATTCTGCGGTCTATCTCCTTAGTTAGTATAGTATATTTGAACCCAGTATCACACGATAGTGATAAAAATTTACCATTGTTTGAAATGTTTTTTTTAAATCGACCTTATTCAGAAATCTGTTTTTTACGTTAGCATTTATAACACCCACCACGAAAGATGAGACGTGACGCACCACGTGGTTCGACATGCGCAGGAGACGAAAATGGTCTAAAGTTCTCTTTCATGGTATGAGGTCTGAGGGGGAAGGGACCGGGCCCAATGGGGGTGGCGGGAAGAGAGCGGGAGGCGCGGCTCGGTGCTCGTCAAGTCTCATCTTTCGTGGCGGGTACTGTACCCCTAGCACGAACCATTATCGAATTCGAATAGTTTGCAAACCGAAATGTCAATGTCAAATTTTGTATGGAAACTTGAACAGCATCAGCAGCGGCACAAAGTACGTAACGAGAACTAAAAATCAGTACACATTTGACAATGACATTTCAGACTCGCAAACGACATGAATTCGATATCGGTTCGTGCTAGGGATACTGTACGAGTAATGTGTTATTCGAATGTTACAGATACACCGTCGAGTACGAGCGGAAGTACGTGGACCACGTGGAAGCGGCCATCCGCAAGAATCTCCTGACGCAGACGAGCCGGTTCGTGTCAGCGGGCAACCGGGAGGGCGCCTCGTTCGAGATGGGGTTGAACTTCCTGTCGGACCGGCTGCAGGCTGAGGTGGAGGTGCTGCTGGGCGTGACCGAGGACGCCGAGCACACGCCCTCCGAGAGCTTCCCGCACCCGCGACGAGAGCTGCGGGACCTGGCCGACAGCCTGCCTGACCAGTTCGACTGGAGGGAGGAAGGGGGCGTCTCAGCCGTTAAACGTACGCAACTTTCGCAATGGTCGCTCATTGGATAGAAGACCAAAAATTTACTATCTCTAAGCTCCACCTTTTGAAGACACTATAGGAAGGTCAAAGGGGAAGATCTTCCTCCGAGCTGGGTGATGGTAGCTCGGGGGCCGCGGCCCGACTGATATTGGTCGGGCATCGTATATATGGAGTGTTAGGCTCCGAATTTCTCTTGCGCGTTGTAGGCTTCCAAACGTTGTGAACGCAGCGCCGGTAACGCCATCTCTTGAGGAGGCGTAAGATTAATTCCTCCATGTTATTTATATGTGGGGCGTGTAGATGTCGCCGCCACAGACACGTCAAGCCGTCGATCCCGGCTGCATCTGCAGTCTGTAGCACCCACCAATCCGCACTAGATCCGCGTTTTGGGTCCTGGCCCCTCCCTAATCCATCCATAGGGAGATCCTAAGCCCCAGCAGTGGACACATTAATAGGCTGACGATGACGTCATGTTCCAGATCAGGACTCATGCTCGTCGTGCTGGGCGTTCGCGGTGACGGGCGCGGTGGAGGGCGCGCTGTTCCGGCGCACGCGCCGCCTCGTGCCGCTCAGCACGCAATGCCTCGTCGACTGCGCCAAACCGTACTATTATTCTCTATTTCATATAATATTTTGTTCTCAGATTTCCTAGTTAAGACAGAAACTGATTTTCCTAAATAATAATATTTTCAACACATTTGCTCAATAAATGCATTTACAGAGATTCTATACATTGTTCGAAAATCTAAATTAGGGGCCATACGACGGAGCGTGCATATTTTCTTAATTTATTTCGAACGTCCTTGGAAGTGCTTTTAGTTATCAACTAGCTGTGCCCCGCGGTGTTACCGGCGGTTTATTAGGTATATTTTCCCGCAGTAAAACGTAGCCTACGTGTTAATCCAGGGTGTCAGCTAACTCCATACCAAATTTTATTAAAATCGCTCTAGCCGTTTAGTCGTGAAGAAGTAACAAACATACACACTCACACACTCACAAAGTTTCGCCTTTATAATATTAGTGTGACACCTTTGTCCCACTTTAATACTGAAAGAGCTAGACAAAAGATGTACTTAGTTCTAATTTTTACCGCCCGCTTGTAGTGAAAAAGTTTGCTTTTTTCGCAAATGTGTTCAAAAACGATGTACTTATGACATTCGTGCGGACTGGTATTTACAAACTCATGACTATGGTAAGCCCTCGACTGCGTCTCGGCGTTCGTCTGCTCGTTTGTAATAACCAACATGACGCACTTATATCATAAATAACTATTCCAACAATTGGCTTAGCCCCAAAGAAAACACTGTAAGGCTTGTGTTATGATATACTTGGGTAACGGATATAAACACATATAAGTATATTTATATAGAAATACTAGCTGACCCAGCGAACTTCGTACCGCCATAAAAATAGGGGCTGGTGGTAGTAGGGTGAAAATTCAGGGTTATATGTATTTACTAATGCTGTATCATAAAAAAATTCAAAAAAAAATATATATAAAATTGAAAAAAAATTTAGGGGTGGATTATTAATGTTAACATTTAGGGGGATGAAAAATAGATGTTGTCCGATTCTCAGTCCTACCCAATATGCACACAAAATTTCATGAGAATCGGGAAAGCCGTTTCGGAGGAGTTTAACCACAAACACCGCGACACGAGAATTTTATATATTAGATTGATATATAAACATCCATGACTAAAGAACAAATACTCGTATTTATCATACTAACATTTGCCCCCCACCGGGATTCGAACCCTGGAAGAGCCTCGCGAGTAAGCGACACCAATATACTAATCGGCCACGGAGGTCGCCGTTAAAAGAATCCTGGAGATTAAAATGATATTATTAAAAAATGGGTGCGTGTACTTATGTAGGCGCGTGAGAAGTTATCCTTCTTTGGCATCGTTGAAAATTAGTTTTTAATTGCATGCAAATAATTAATTACAATAAATTAATAAAAAGTCTGCAAAAGGACACAGTCAATAAAGTTCAGTTTTAATTTGAAAAAATAAAAAAATAATCAAAATATTCAATTAAAATCGCTACTGAATATAATTTATTAGAACATATGTGATTTGCACTTGTATGAAACTCAAACACGTATTCCGAATATACAAACTAGAAACATGTGGATAAATATTATAAATATGAATACCTATAACTGTTACTTTATTACAAAAAATAAAGATGTGGTTTTTGGTTCTACTACACCAATGGTCAAGAGATGGCGCTGTAGTCTCCTGAATCGCGCTTTGGTTCCGTTGTTCCAGATTAATAAATACTTTTGATAGGCCTTCACAATGCAGTCGTTAGCACCCACTAAATAGAGATTCTATTTCTATTTTGTTGGTAGATTTTCTTAATGTGCGGTAAACACAAAAGTCGCTAAAGCGACCAACTTCATGCTGTTAAAATTTTGTGTTACAGTGATGCGCGCGCATCTTAAAATTTCACTCTCATCATTTTTTCATAACGCGCCTAAAGAGGTATAACTTCAAAAATAATAATAAATAGGAAAATATTAATCATGTATCCCTATTGAATTTCAAATATGGGTTTCATGGTGTCGCCGACTCGAGAAGTCCCGGATTCGAATCCCGGTGGGGGCAAATCTTTGTGTGATAATACGAGCATTTGTACTCCAGTCATGGATGTTTTATATGTATTTCTATATAAATACACTAATATATGTACAGTATATGTATTCTATCCGTTACCCTAGCATCCCATAACATAAGCCTTACAGTGCTTACTTTGGGACTAGGCTAATTGATGTGAGTGTTGGAAATATTTATTTATTAAATAACTTTATATTATTAGAAACAGTTCAGATTAGTAAGTTATTAATGAGATTATGAAAGCTATACTCAAGGCTAATATAATTAAATACGACACAGGTACGGTGGCAACGGATGTAAGCCAACTTGGCCGAGTCACGCGTACGACTACGTGCAGGACCGCGGTCTACCCGCAGAGAAGGAGTACATACCGTATCTAGGAAAGGTACGTATCTCAAAGTTATTATTCCTGAGGTATGGTTAAGGCGCTTTGCAGACGACGGGGCGGGGCGGGCCGGTCAATTTCGCCGCGAACGATAGCACAAAGTGAATCCTATACTACAAACGCACACAGAGGGCAAAAAGACCGCGCCTTGAGTGCCCGGCGGTCGGTGGCGGCGCGGCATGTCCGCGGCTGCCCGCCGTGGATCATACAAACCAGTTTATATGCAGTAACGCAGACGGCGGCGCGGGGCGGCTAGCTCACTCCGCACCACGCGCTTTTTAGTGATGGACTATTCACTAGAACGAACGTCCTGAACTGACTGCCTCTGCCCGTCGTGTGCTTTGTGTACGCGGCGAGGGCAGCCGCAGACATCGACGGGCAGACGCGGTTTTTATTGCTTCGCGGACAAAATGCCCGTCCCGCCCCGTCGTCTGCAAAACGCCTAATACTTCCCGTTGGAACATCGCAGTCACATGACCGGTAAATCAGTCGCGTCGGGCTATTCGACAGAGATTTCTTTTTGTACGAGGCGCAACAAATTACCCCACCCCTGATGTTAAGTGTAAGTGGAGTCCAGTCGCGAAGATAGATGGTACGGCAGAAGGTGTGCCGCTTAGCCATCCTTACCATACCAGCCTGAATCCAACCCCCTACACCGCGGAAATCTGGATCCTTACGCAGCAGCAGAAACAACATCACCAAAAGGTACTGTTATTTTACCGTGGTCTTCTGTAGGGTGGAAATCAGGGCTTGTAACCGGTTTCGTAAATACCGGTAAATAAAGGTTAATACCGGTTTTTAGTAAAGGTTTCGTTCGAAATGAAAGCGGTACCTAAAACCTTAATAAACCGGTTTAATCCAGAGCGACACGTGCACGCGTCGGCATCGCTTGAAGTTTGTTTTGTTTGAACTAATTAAGTCACAACTTGTTAATGCTCAGAAATTGATGCATTTATTGACACGTTTGCTAGCGTCTAGTGAGTCAAGTTATTCATTTTGTAGTTGTGTACTGACACACTACTTCACTCACTCTCTCTGTAGTTGGAAAGAAACTGACATAAAATCATTATAAATTTTAATTGAAACAGGCGTAGGCGATGCCGTCAGTAAGAGCGAAATGAAACCCTTTACAAACTGCTAAATTGATTCCAAACCTATTTGATTTCGCTTTTTAAGAAAACCGGTTTTTTAAGGTTAAGGTAGAGCCAAACCTAAATAAAACGCTCCTAATGTACTTGATACTGATTACTGATACTTGAGCCCTGGTGGACATTGCTTCCCCACACGTAGGGGAGACCGGGGCAAGACGAAGCTCGGGGCAGGACGGGAAGTGTGCTTGTGTGTGTGACTGGTGAACGCAACAAAGCTTAACACAGCGCCATTCGCTCGATGTTCAGCCGCCTCGCATGAGGCCGGCGGGTGCGTATGTGTCACTGCGTGTTTTGGCTGCGTGACGAGAAAATATAGTTTTTGGGAGGATTTTTACGACGTTTTCTGTTTTGAATCGATGTGCACCAAGGTAGGTATCAGTACTGTTGTATTATGTTACCACATACTTGTTGCAGTAGTGTAAAACTAAAGAATTTAGGTTGCTTTTTTGCTTAATAGTTTTATAGATTAAAACTGTTATTACTTTTGCAAAATGAGTCTGTTGGGGCAAAAAGGTCGGGGCATAATGACATACTATTCCGTTTTGCCCCATGTATGTTAGTAAAAGAGTGTTTCATTACTATACAAAAATAAGTTTATTATTTGTAAAAAAAAATAGTAAGGAATAAATAAAGTTTTTAAAAGAATAAAATCAAAAGACGCAAAGAAGAAAGTGACACTTGTTCATCTGAAGACGATGAAAATGATTGTCCTTGTATATATTGTGCGTACTTATATTCACAATCCAATGAAGGATGGGTTATTCGTAGAGAGTGCAAAGGCTGGGCCCATATTTCTTACGCAGGTATAGACGATGAGGATGAAGATGCACATACATGTGAACGTTGCCGATCAGATTAAAATGTGTACTCATTATGCCCCATAGCGTTTCCCATTTTGCCCCGATCATGGGGCAAGACGAGAAATTTGGCATGTGTCATTTAGTTCCTTATTTCCAAAAAAATATGTGATTTAGAGTCATAAAACATTATAATTATGTTAATTAAGATTATAAGTATTGCTTTTGTTCTAAGAAAATAATAAACAATTTGATTTTCATATTATGACGTTTTTTCTCTTAAGTATCCCATCCTGCCCCGGTCTCCCCTACGCACCAATGCGAGCGGACTATCCGCTGTGCTCTACCTCTCCGCTCCTCGCCAGAGATGTATATTATAGTGTAGAGGTTATTCCGACACGAACAAAAAAGTTCACTCATTTCTTTGACATACTATTCGCAAGGGCGAGTTTTTCTACAATCAATGGTACTTGCCTAATGTTATAAATGGTCCGGCGGGAATTTTTTGCCCGAGAACGTGTTCCCCGCTTCCTACAACCTGGGGGCCTCGCCTAACCAGATTGCTTTGGAAAAAGTTATCGCTTAAGATTACGTTTTGTTATTTCGACCCCCTTAGGTTTTCAAATGCCTCGCGCTGTTTTTTTTTCTTTTCCATTGTTAATAACAATATTAAAGAAAATGAGCGTGAGGTATTTGCAAACCTTCGGCGGTCATAAATAACAAAGTGAAATCGGAAGCGATAGCGATTTCCAAAGCAATCCCGTCCGGCGAATGGCCCCTGGGGTCCTTTAAGATGGGCGTGAAGAAGCATTTTTGTAGGCCGGCAAGGCGAGGATCGTTGGTGTGGCAGTTTGTAACTTCTACATGCTATCACTGCACTTAACATCAGGTAGAGTAGTCATTTGCCTATCTATAAAAACATGTTGGTTGCAGGTGCTGGAGTGCCAGGACAAGATCGTGAAGCCCGTAACGCAGATCAGCGCGCACGTCAACGTCACGCAGCACAGCGTGCCTGCCCTCAAGGTAAACTATTACTGTTTGTATTTTTTTAAGCATTTAGCTGCTAGATGTTTAAATTGTGGGTTACCTACAATGCGAAGAGATGGCGCTGCCTTGCAGCTTAAGGCTAGGAAAATTTAGACGCGGCCATCAGGGTCGTGGAAGCATAATTGGTCAGTGCATTCGCCCGGATTGCGAAGGGTGCAGGTTCGAGTCCCGTCCGCTGCCTGGTCCGCGTGGATTTTTATTTTCTAGTAAAACTTTTCTTTAGATTTAAAGTATATCTGGTTCATCATCATCAGCCTATTAATGTCCCCACTGCTGGGGCACAGCCTTTCCCTATGGATTGAATAGGGAGTGCGGGACACGACCCACCACGCCGGCCCAGTGCAGATTGGTGGGTGATAAAAACTGCAGATGCGACCGGGACCAACGGCTTAACATGCCTTCCGAAGCACGGAGGAGCTCAAGATATAAAATTTTTGGTCACCCATCCCATGACCGACCACTGCGAAATATGCTTAACTTCAACGGCCGCAGCCGAACGCGCTTACCACTTGCGCCATCGAGCTCCTCTACCTCCTCAAGCTCAAGCTGGTTAAGGCGAAGAAATTATGAAAGATGCTTACGAAGTCAATTATTATATTTATTGCAGTACATACTTGTATATACAGTACAGCTTTAATTTATTAATTTAATAATAAGGTAAAGAATCACACAAGTCCATATGAGATGGGAGAGTGTCCATATGAGATTGAGCACAATGTCATAGCACATATTTATTGCTTCATGTTGGTTACATTTAGTTCTTAAATCTAATAACAGCTCGCAACATGAATCCTGCAAGGGCATTGCTAATTATAAAAAAGTACACAAAATTTAATTTAAAATTTGATAAAACTACAACAGAATAGGGGAGACCTATGTCCAGCAGTGGACGAACATGGGTTGATGATGAATGATGACAACAGAATAACAATTGATGATGGTTTTATTACAAACATTAAATTAATAAAAAAATATAATAAAATAAAAAAATATAATATAAAATAAATTCATATTTATTTATTTATTAACTACACAGTATACTTACAGTGCTAGACCAAAACGTACACTGGTTAAAAAAAAAACAAATCTAACAGTTAAACACTATACATACAATGATACTTTAATCAATTATACTAATCACTTTGTTAATTGGGCTGCAGTGTAAATGTTCTGTGGATTGGACCCAACCAAACTCTATCGTCTGTATGCAGTCAAAACTTTTCATTGCGTAATAAAAAAAAATTGTTCCTTTCATTAAAGGTTCACTTCTATCGCGTGTGAATTGCACACATGTTTTTTTTTTTAATTTCATAAACAGTTCGGCATTAAAAGTAACTACTGTATTTTATTCTTATCCATTCTTATTATCCCATTCAAACTAATTTTGTATGCAATTTATCTTTTTAGATTGCGATCCGAGAACACGCGCCTTCGGTAGTCATTATCGACTCTACTACGATAAGCTTCCGTTCATACAAGACTGGAATATTCTACGATGACCGATGGTACGTCTCCTTGTATTAATAAATTATTGCGTCCGCAGGCGTCGTCAGATGCATCAGCAGATGGATCACCACGAGCCGACCACACGACTGACTAAGGCCCGTATTATAGAAAGATTCTCAGTAATCGATCTAGTTCTGAGCATAGTTAGAAAGGGATCCGACATCCCTTTCTAACTGTACTCAAGTAAAGATCAACACTTAGTTGTCCTTCTGTAATACGGGCCTAAGTCTGTAGGTCATTCAATCTGGTATTCATTCTCGACAAAGGCAATTCGTGCGCACACAACATTAAAACAAATGTTGAGATCGTAACTGCCTCAGCTATTTATTTATTTAATAAGCATTACTTCCGATTAAGTCTAGGTAACATCTATATATCCTGCCCTAAGACTACGATCTTAAGATACTGTTTTGATAGAAAACATCATCTCAAGATCAAAATGGACAGCGATCTATAAATACGGGCCTAAGAGCTCATATGGTAACGCACGACTGCAACTTCGATTCGTCCAAAGCGCGACCAATGTTGTATTTAGAACTGCAATAACACACAATGTGTTATTGCAGTTACTATATATATATGCAGTTTTAAACGAAACATGTGCACTCGTCGGTGGGGCAGAGAAAAAAGGTATACCAACATCATAGAGGCAGTGTGTTCGAGACGCGAGACGCACTGCTGTTGTATCAGGACGCGTCGGGGACGTCGCGACGCACTTATTAACGGACGTATGTCGACTTTTACAGCGCTAAAAATAAGGCTAAGCACGCGGTACTGGCGGTCGGGTGGGGCGAGGAGCGCAAGGAGCCGCACTTCATCCTGAAGAACTCGTGGTCGGCCTCGTGGGGCGAGGGCGGCTACGTGCGCATGCACGGGCCCTCCAACACGTGCGGCGTGCTGTCGCGACCCTCCTACCCGCGCCTCGAGGGCGCCGACGTGCTGCGCGACCTCGACCGCCTCGCCGCGCCCGCGTCCTCACCCGCCGGCGCCGGCGCCGCCTCCGGTAGGAGCGCAGCCGGCCGGAGCTCAGCCGGCAAGAGCTCAGCCGGCCGGGGCTCAGCCGGCAAAACGGCTGACGACGACGATTACTATTAAAAATGAAATTCTAACGAACACTACGAAAGGCTCGTTTTAATTAAATTAAATAATGTTAATATAGTCATCGAAAAAATCTAAGCGACATTTCTACGGTAATGATATTTATACCATACTATTATTTAAACACAATCGAAAAGTTGCTATTTATAAAATTAGCCACTTATGTTCCGAAAACAGAAAATATTATATACTTACCGATTAACTGTGCCAAGAAAAAAAATCAAGAACATCGTTCTGAAAATGTTGCGTGTCGCTTAGACATTATTGATATGTGTACTTTGCTGTTGTTATTGGCTTGTATTGTAAATAAAGGATTTTTTAAAAAGACTCAAAAGATAAGTATACACAAAACAAAAAAGCACGATCGAGATAAGAAATGTAAAATTCTATTCTTTTTCGAAATATTTTAAAATCAGTGGTATCTTATAATAGTTAAATGAAAAAGCAAAGGAAAACTTGATAATGTGAGCACGACTGATGTGTCAAGCAACTTGCACGAGAAATTGTCACGCTGGGCTTCGTCATTATATTATATCATCATTAATATTAGATGCGATGGAGTGATGAGTGATTTCCTCGGGGCAAACAAACAATTGATGTCTGTTTTAGCAATTAAAATGAACTTTTATGTAATTAGTTAGCTGTTTAAAATCTGTTGAATGAAATATTGATAGGATAAGCTGAAAGTTGCCATTTATATAATTTAAGATTTTATATAAAAAATGTTGAATTTTAGTAATTTGTTTTATTTCCAAACTGTTATAACGAACGACGTAACAACGAAACAAGAATGAGGTGAGAATGAGACGACAATTCAATGAGAAAAGAATGGGAGTAATTTTTCGGGAATAAAATGAGCTGGGAAAAGAATAGAACGTCAATGAAATAATATCAAAAGGATGCGATTATGAGACTTTAAAGTTATGAGACGAAATATTTAAATGCGCTAAAACTTTTACTATCAACTTAAAAGGTAATCAATTTTATAACGTCATTACATAATTTTTATAACATAAAACGTCGCATCTTTACCTGTGTAGATAAAGAAAATTTGATACGGGCATTCCCGACCTAAGGTCGGTCACCTATGGTCACACCAAACTGTAACACCAGGGGGCCAATCGCCTAACTGAATTGCTTTGGAAAACGCTATCGCTTACGATTTCATTTTGTTATTTCTAGCCCCCTGAGGTTTTCAAATGCCTCGCGCTCTTTTTTTTTCTTTTGCATTGGTAATAACAATGTTAAAGAAAATGAGCGTGAGGTATTTCGGCGGTTAGAAATAACAAAATGAAATCGTAAGCGATAGCGTTTCAGGTGGTGATTACATGACCATTTTCACAGAAAATTAATCTAACAGTAAGGAAGCTATATATAGATAAGTTCGAAAATATTTATTGCATAAGATTAATAATTCGGCATATAACTTAAGAAGATATAACAATAAAATACAACTAACATTAACAATTTCACATCATAAAACTATAAAATACACTAACTATAAACAAATAAGTCTCTATCTAATTACATAATTACTATATATAAGTAAAATATAAATACTAGAATAATAACAAATAACACACGACCACGGACGAACATCTCAACACGGTCACGGTAATATTATATTACCGTGACACGGTCCCTAACACAGAACATAGAAACCTCTTTCTGTGTTCCCTAAGCAGACATCGCGGTGCTGTCAGTCTCGTGTAATCGTATTGTGTGAGCTGTCCGCGGACTTTTGTACATACCACATAAGTATTGCGTTGTATATGGCTAATGCGATAACTGAATGCGAAAAGATGACGCTGCCTTGCAGCCTAAGCAATACTAGAAAAAATTGGTGAGTGCGTCCACCCGGATAGTGGAGGGTGCGGGTTCGAGGCCCGTCTGCCGCCTGGTCTGCGTGGATTTTTTTTCCGATCATAACACTAGCCCAGTAGCCTTAGTGCGACAGAAAGAAAGAAAGAAAGAAAAAACATTTATTGGCCTTAAAACACAAGTATGTAACAATAAGAAATTATATACCGATAAAAATAAAAACAAACAGACAACAACAATATGCAGAAAGAAGAAAGGCCAATTAGGACCCAGCCTCAGCTTAATGCTGTTACAATGGGACGGGAATATTCCCACCGTAACAGCGCTGGTATTCTGGCAGTCGGGTCGATAGGACCACGGGTACATTACATATTAGTACAATGAGTATAACGTATTTCCATCAGTGCAGTGGTACAAACTGATGGGAATCGGCAAACGATGTACGTCTCCCGCCGTAGATTTACGAACCGATGGCGTAGCGTTTGACTTTCACAAGAGCTTGTAACAGCCTAGACTGAATAAATGAGTTTGAGTTTGAGTTTAATGATAAAATAACATGAAACATTAGTGTTGGTAGATTGCCTTAGAATAGTGTTATTATTCTGAGTAGATAGCATATTTAATGTGTCCTTGGTTAATGTAGCTTCAATCGAAGTGTGGGACTGATCAAAATTATCGAAGATACATAAATTCAATTTTATATGCGCTGTTAGATAATCTTATTGTTGTAACCGGTCAGAGTGGTCAAAATTATGATAAGGCTTTATTATTTAACAGACAAAGATACTTGGGTATGAACTGTTCCAACCATTCCAACGGTTCGTAAATTTACGGCGATATATATTATGAATCATGTGTTGAGTTTACAATACTATAATAAAATTTGAAAGGTGTAAGTATATAAGGTTGATAGCTTATGGAATATTATCAGACTGTTAAAGAATATTTGAATTACAAAACGGCGTGGTCGTGATTTCTCTATTGCTTTGCTTTTGTAATTGTTTGCGGTGTCCTACAGATAAATAACCTTAATTTAAGTAAATATGTTGTAGTTAGTATGGGTAGTCATGCTCTCTCAATAGTCTCTTCGGCGGTGTCGTGCGGCGGGTCGTTACGTTTCCTAAAATATGGTTGAGCGAAGCGATGGCTGGTTCATGCGTCATGCTCGTGAACGGGTGCTGCCAGCGGAGATGAGTCTGCCCTAACTTCCTTGATATTAAATAATATGTTATTGTTTAGTTACACTAAGAATAAATACCACTTTTTGTATTTATACTGTATGACACAGCAATCAAAATACAGGTAAACAATTAATGTATATTTAATCATTATGTAATGAAAGGTCATTTTTGAATTTGACGACTCTGTAAATAATAAAACAGGGAGAAAAAAACAGCCCTTGCTGAGTTTGTTGCCGGTTCTTCTCAGTACAAGGTCTCTCGCCGTAGATTTACGAACCGATGGCGTAGCTTCTAGACATTCATGAGCGCTTGTAACAGCCTAAACTGAATAAATGATTTTGATTATGATAGACGCCGCTCTTACGGCTTACTAGAACGGAACGAACGTTTCGTTTCTTCAACGTTTTGGTTTGGTTGAAGGCTAAGTAGGACCAGTTCATATAAGTTAAGATCCAAACGTGAGTCAGCAGGAGGGGCGTGGACCAAGAGGCGTAATCTAGGATACGGAGAGACGTCAACTCGGAAACTGCAAGTCGACCACGCACCGCGGCTCGGGAGCATGTCCCGAGGCGATTATGTTACAATTGAGGAGCTGGCTACTACTTTTACAGTCCGGAGGTTTCGAGTCCTTTAAATTTGCATATCAAATAATTTTCAATCAAAAACCCACGCCAAAAGCTCATTGAAGATATGTCATTCAGTTTTATACAGCTCCTCATCATCATCAGCCTATTAATGTCCCCACTGCTGGGGCACAGGCCTTTCCTATGGATGGAATAGACTGCAAATGCAGCCGGGACCAACGGCTTAACGTGCCTTCTGAAGCACGGAAGAGCTCGAGATAGTAAATTTTTGGTCACATTTGGTTATACAGCTCCTATGAAATTAAATTTCATGTAATTATATCGTTTTGTTCGTCAGCTCCTCAATTACGATTTGTGTGCGTTACAGTATGAAATTGTATACAAAGAATAGTGAACGACTCGAATTGATACGGTGACGATCCCTTTTGTTGAGTTGATATGTATGCTATAACCTTTAAAAGTATTTAAATCGAATAAAATCTATGTAAGCGAAGATATTATGAGTACTCTGTACCCTTAAAAACTATGATAGTTTTCGTGAGCTCGCACTCGTACTGAGAGTACTGATTTTATTGTTTTCGTTTCAATACAAATAAACAGTGTTTAAATTATATCATTAAATCATTTGCGTCTTCTTAAATTTTAAGTATATTTGGTTACTTTTACAAAAATGGACATAGAAACATAATTTACAATTACGAAAACTACTTAGAGCATTTATACCTATACAAATAGTAAAAGTATAAATGCTGTAAGCGAAAACTGTGATAGTTTTCGTGAGCTCAAACTCGTACCAAGGGTACTGGACGCTTAGATACCAATGAACAGTACCCCTAGCACGAACCAATATCGAATTCGTATCGTTTGCGAGTCCGAAATGTCATTGTCAAATGTGTACTGATTTTTAGTTCTCGTTACGCACTTTGTTCCGCTGCTGTTCAAGTTTCCATACAAAATTTGACATTGACATTTCGGTTTGCAAATTATTCGAATTCGTTAATGGCTCGAGCTAGGCTAGAGGTACAGTTACGACGCGTACATAATAAAAAATATTGTAATGGTGTATATGTTTTTGGAGAGTTTGATATGAAGAAATATAAGACTGGCCGGTTGTGTACAAAATTTAGATAGGTAACTTTAAATGCAAAGATATAATTGAACCTTTGCTCTTAATATGTATTTGACCACTTTGTCACTTCATATTTTTATGAAACTGACTGTACCTACCTGCAACTACAGTCATAATGAAGACAAAAAATACTGACCTATGGGGTTCTAAAAAAAACAATGGTGAATCCCATGACTATATTTTTATATTTATTTTGTCCATACAGTTCATTATTATGGCATATAATAATGTTCATAATCAGGCACTCCATATTATATCATAACTTAATTAATTATTTATAGTGTGGGCAGTGTTCAGTTTTTTGCGCGACGCCTCAAAAAGGACATTTTGCAGGGTTTATGTATATATATGTAGAATGCTCATTTGTTTATTCTACCATAACGTCTAAATGCCTAAACAATTTGATTATAAACAATATCATTAGTAAACTTACACCATTCTGAATGACTGATTATTTTTTATAAATCCATGTGATTATGATTATTTTGAAAAAATATCACAACTATTGATGTATACAGAATTCAAAACCGACCTCCTTTTGTATATATTATTATTTAATTCCCTGCTCTCTGCTAGGGGGTAGCATGTGCACCGCGATATGATATATATCGCGATTTGTGCCCGTAGCATGAGCACAATTTACATTAAGTATATCACGTTGTTTATCGCATCTGTCAAACTCCATAGTAATTTGACAATTAAGCATGATAAAAACGCGTACCGCGCTTACTGTGGGGCATCATGCATTTTTTTTAACACACACACCAATTAGCCTAGCCCCAAGGTAAGCACTGTAAGGCTTGTATTATGAGATGCTAGGGTAACGGATAGAATACATATACGGTACATATATAAGTATATTTATAAAGAAATACATATTAAACATCCATGACACGGTAATAGATAATATTACCGTGTCCATGACTGGAGCACAAATGTTCGTATTCATCACACAAACATCTGCCCCCACCGGGATTCGAACCCGGGACCTCTCGAGTCGGCGACACCATGAAACCCGGCGTACAAACCACTCGGCCACGGAGGTTGCCAAATTACTATGGAGTTTGACAGTTAGAGGCGATAAAAAACGAAACGTGATATAATGTAAATTTAGTCATCATCACAGACCTTATGGTGTCAATCAAAAAATCACTGTTCATACTACAGGGACTGGTCTCCCTCACGTCCGCTATATTAATGATTTTAATACGATTTCCATATCTTGATGAGCACATACCAAAATTATAATTAAATATAAATAATTGATATGTTTGATACTAGCCCGTGACTTCATCCGCTTTAACTTTGGCCCCTGTACATTTTTCGGGATAAAAAGAATCCTATGTCTCAATCTAGGTCATAAACTATATGCGTACCAAATTTTGATTGAGAAACAAACCCACTTTGACATTTATAATATGAGTAAGATTTCAATATACATGCAATACAGATATTTCATCTTTGGCTGCAAACCTTAACATTTAGTATCCAAAAACATACAATAGCAATAAATAATCAAAAACAAAACAGACATTTCAAAATTGTTTGTCATACATTTTAGATTGTAAAATATTTACATAATTTATAATGTATGACAAACATTGAACATATACATATTAATAAAATAAGGCTTGTAAATTATTCCAGTGATAATCATATTTTATTAAAAAACTTGTAAACTGTCAGTCCATCTTATTAAATACGGTAATTCATTGATTGCTCTAACATCTTGTAATATTTCACTAATTCTGCTACTAGACTAGTTTATTTCGACCCGGCATTATAAAAAACATAAAAATCGGTCTTTTTTAATATCATCTTATTATGTCCTCCACATGTATGCCGTGGCTAGCAATGCACATAAACAGTCCAAAGAGTCTACCACATTTATGTTTGGCATAATTCACTTAGACACAACCTCCCGAGTTCATTCAAATTCCTCACACTATTGCTAACTCCACAAACTTATTGATTAAACATAGGTATTAGAATACAATAAAAGTAAAAGATTCTATCTAACATGAGAATTTACACCATAATGTGACTTACTAATAAACACTGCAAAAATATTTAATAGTGTTTATAACTGCTTTTTTCCTTTTTGCTTGACAGTGGAAAAGCAAAATAGATTATACTCCAATGTGGCTTATAAACTGTTTTGCATTTCCACTGGCGTCCTGTTCCAAACTGGATCCTTGATGAAAGAAATATTCGTATAATAAAATAGTATTAATGTATACTTAATATTCTAGTACTAGTACTTCACATTTCTATTCATATTTGCTAATCGTAAACTTGATGGCAGTATTTCCTTTTCATTCCTTAGAGAACATGAAAAGTTTATACCGATGTCATGTTTATAAATAGCAAACACAAATATCTATGTGAAGTGCTAGCGTTTCATTCACATTTATATCGAATCGAATACCTTGATGATGATATCATACAGCAATTTTTAGTAAAGGGACAAAAATTAAAGCTAACAATAAAAGTTATCTCTTGTTGTTGCCTCGCTGGTGGCCCCGGCCTCTCACGTACGTCTTGTGAGTGTTATGTTTGGCCGAGTGGTCGTTATTGGAAGGTTGGAAGCGGTCAGATTTGGGTTGATGCTGAGGCGGCGGCGGCGCGACGGCGGCGGGCGCGTGGGGTCGCGCGACGACATGCGCGCCGTTGGAGCGGTCGGAGGACGGCGGCGCCAGGCCGGCGGGCGCGGCGGGCGGCGGGGCCGGCTGCGGCTCGCTCATGTTCACCTGCTCGTTGAACAGCATGCAGAACTCGCCCACCTTCTGGATGTCTCCCGACTTCCCCGAGTAGAGCGTGAGGGCGAATCGCCACAGCGAAGCGTACCCGCGCGTCAGGCGCACGATGTCCCCGGGCTGCAGAAGCGCGCCGGGCTCGTCCCACACCGACAGGTTCACGGACGCGCTGGCGTCTGCCACGCGTAGCGTGCGCACCTCGCGAGCCTCCTTGGTCAGTGTCGGCGGACCGACCTCCAGAACTATAAAAACCGCGTTAATGTTTTTCATGCCCGGCTTTAGATCTTTGATTTGGACATACTCTAAATTGGCCATTTCTATGCAGTTATGGAAGAATGGGCTTTTCGATCGAATCAACAAACGCGATTCGCAAGCTCATCGACTGTCATTTGCGAACGCTCCTGTCAATGTCAGCGAAAGAAAACAATCAATCAGCAGGCCAATTATGCTCGCCAATTGTGATATTGTTTTGATGTCAATTTCACATTACGTATTATGCTCTCCGAAAAATACGATATCAAAATGACATCAACTTATGCGTATTATGATCAACTCTTTAAAATGATATCAACTTAAATGCGTATTACGTTCAACTTTTTGACTTAAAACAGTATCGCATAAACGTCAAAAAAGTGATACAGGATATGTTATGATATGATCTTGATGTGACATAGGAATTTTTCATAATACCATTTAAAAACAATGTCAACTTGGCATCAACATCACATTGACATCATAATAGGATTATATCACTAAAGCATAATTGACCCGCAGCTGTTTTGAAGTCCGGCAAATACTGTAATTTTTTCGCATAAGATTTTTTAATAAAAATTTAAATAGATATGTCCTCATAACTATCCCCTTTTCGAAAGCAAACTGATTTCAGCATATTTTATTGAATTTAATAGCTTTTAACTTTAAGGATATTCATGCCAAAAAATAAGTATTTTTATTTATCAATGTAAAACCAGCCAATTTAATTCAATAAAAATAAATTATTTTCGGCTTTTAATGCTATTACAGAAAACCACCGAAAAATCCGAAAATATGGGACTTGTTTGATAGAATATTTAAAAATAGGATGTATGAGCATTAACTCCTTTACCTTTTATTTCTTCAGAACGTTAAAACTGTAAGTAACATAACCTAGAATGTGTTCCGAAATATACATCAGTATACTGGCCAGTGGTAATGACGTCACGAATCCGACGCCATATTGTACTGGTATGATACCATATTTTTACCGGGAAAACTAAAATGACGTATGACCGAGCGTGCGTTAGATGCATTCGAATTTTATTTCTTTTTTATTTAAAGAACATAAATGGCATCCGAACAAAAAGAATTCCTTTTTATTGATGAGGTGAATAAAAAATCTTCTTCTAAAAAAAAATTCGCACTATTTTTAATATTTCGTCGATTTATGACATTAGTGCACTGGCCATTATATTTCGGAACAATTCACCAGTATAGCGTCGATTCATACGTCATTAGCACTGGCCGGTATACTGGTATATATTACGGAATACGCCCCTAGTGTTGGCCATTAGAAATAATATTCGGTTCAAAAAAATTCAAAATTCAATATCGTTTATTCAGTCTAGGCTGTTACAAGCACTTGTGAATGTCGAAAAGCTACGCCATCGGTTCGCAAATCTACGGCGGGAGACCTTGTACTGAGAAGAACCGGCAAGAAACTCAGCAAGGGCTGTTTTTTTCTCCCTGTATTATATACAGAGTCGTCAATTTGAAAAATGACTTCAATATGAGATAACTCATGAAGTCACTTTCCATTACAAATGTAAATGATAAAACAATTATGACTATAAAATAAAAAATATAAAAAACAGATTTAAAAATGAAAAAAGTTTAGGAATGCCGTGTCCGTGCCTAAACAGTAAGGCATAAAAACAAATGTACCATTAAAGTTAAATACAACGACTAATAGTTCCCAATGTAGCAAGAGCAGACTCATCTCCGCTGGCAGCACCCGTTCACGAGCATGACGCATGAACCAGCCATCGCTTCGCTCAACCATTTTTCAGGGAACGTAACGACCCGCCTCACACGACACCGCCGAAGAGATTTTTAAGAGAGCATGACTACTCATAACCACATATGGATACTAGATAGCAAAATATTGAAAAAAAAAATTAAGTACCAGTGTACATTACTATAAAAAACTATAAACACAACAGTAGGACACATGCATGTGATTACCTAAACACTAGTGTCGACTCTGCCACTACCCTCCAAACCCAAAACCAAACCCAACATCAGTGCCTCCCCTTCACTCTGTATAGAGAATGACAAGGATACACCGCTGCAAAACCAAAGTTCAGGTCTAGAGAACCATGCCAGAATCCACACCACCATTAAATCTTTATCTCAGAAATAATAAATGTTCACCTAAATTTTGATTTTGATTGCTGTGCCATACAGTATAAATACAATTACAAATAAAATTTAAATTAAATAATTAATTATCATTATAATAATAATAAAGTAGTATAGAGCAGACTCATCTCCGCTGGCAGCACCCGTTCACGAGCATGACGCATGAACCAGCCATCGTATCGCTCAACCATATTGTAGGGAACGCTACGACCCGCCTCACACGACACCGCCGAAGAGATTTTTAAGAGAGCATGACTACCCATAACCACTCAAACCAAACTAAAATAGTTACTTAAAATTAAGGTAATTTATCTGTACGACACTGCAAACAAATACAAAACAAATTTGCAGTTACAGCCATGCAGTTTTGTCATTCAAGTATTCAATTATTCAATTCAGGTTATTTTAGTTGTATTATTAATTAACATGTTACATGGCTTTAAGGTGGCTTAAAAAATTGATAATAAGCAATGTTACGTCACTGGAGAAGCAGCCTACGCCTAGCCCACAAAACTTCACAAAGAAATAACTGAAACGAAACTAAAAAAAAATTAAGCGTATTTACAAAACCTGGCAGCGAGTGTCAGTTTGCGTAGTTTAGTTTGAAGAATTGGTAAAAATATCGTTATATATTCGGTTTCGAAGTGAACATATTCCAAGGCGTTTAAATTAAGCATCCCTATTTCATAAACACAGACAGTGTTGCCATATATACGGATTTGTACGTATACGTATTTGTATTTGTATCCATACAGAATTTTAACACTTAAGATCATAAGAGCATACGGATTTTTATACGTAATTGTCAGGAAAATACAAACAGTAGTTTATAGATATTTCTAATCCCAATAAAATGATTTTAATAACGAAACAATACATAATTATTATTTGATCCTGCTTTAATACCAGTGCTTTGTATTTTTTTTTCACTGATAAAGTACAGAATGTAACAGTAGGAAGTCCGCTCGAAATATTTTGGTTGCTCGAGACAATAAGAGGAAGAAAAAGTTTAAAACAGGTATTTTCATTAAAGACATAGGCATGAGAAAACTAGGCTTTATTCAGCATAACGAACTGCACTGAGATAAAGCATAAAATATACATAACATCAGGTATAGTGATATTCACTATTATGTTGAGTTAAGAATTGAATCATTGTCTTAATTTTGTATAAACATTGTATCATATGCGAAGGCGTTATTAGCAGGCAAGCGATGTTACAGCCTAAGAATTTATTAAAAAATGACTCAATAGGAAATTGGAAATCGTTTTATAATTTCGTTTTATAATTTCAATAAAAAAAATTGTGTGTGTCAGCTCCGACGCACGACTGGAGTTTACTTCTTAAGTTCGATAGTCTAACCAGACGCAAAAAGAGTTTATTTAACTTAAAAAAGATTGATACTGGTGTCGATTCTGGCATGATTCTCTAAACCTAAACTTAAATATGACAATAGTGTATCCTTGTCTTGATCTATACAGAATGAAAAGGAGAGACTGATGTTATATTTAGCTTTAAGTTTAGACAATCATGCCAGAATTAACACCAATGTATGAAAGAGTAAATTAACAAATTAATGAAAATAAAAAGCTCAATGGTTTTGTGTTCAACGAATGGCGCGGTGGTACACCAACGCGATTTCTTTGTCGTCGTAGGCAATAAAGGTACGCTAGGATACTGTGCTACGGTGTAGCACTAGGGCTGCTACAGCGTAGACAGTAAAAACGGAACGAGGTCATTCGTCGATAGATTTCACTCCTCACATTTTTCTCATACCGGGCCCCTTATATATGCAAATCGATTCTTAAGGAGTAAACTCCAAAAATATTGATCACTAGCTGACGCGGCGAACTTCGTACCGCCTTAGCGTAGCTTTGATGCACTACTTTATTTTGTATAGCTGACCTATCTTATGTATGAGACCTATTCAATTTGAACTGGAATCTATAATATCCTCCATATAAAAATGAATCCTTATTTCCCTGGTCTCGCCATACCTGAGGAATTTACTAATTTTTATTAAATAAAAAATTTATAAAAAAATAAAAAATTAAAAAAAAAAAAAACCGTAAGAACCTTGTACAGAGTATTAGAAAACTACAAAAAAAATCAGCCAAATCGGTCAAGCCGTTTTCATGTTATGTCGTGACAACGGAAAACGGGTTTCATTTTTATATATATAGATTATAAACATTACTGAATATGGAATACATAATAAGGTTTTTTTTAGATTTTTTCTTCTTTTAATAATAATTGGTCTTGAAGTGCTCTAATGATATCAATCAAAGGTTGGTTCAAATTTTTATACGGATTTCATAGGGATTCTATAAAAAAATTGCCATACGGAATTTGGCAACAAACACCGACTTAAAATCTGGCAGCACTTACCACAGATTACTAAGATTATGTTCTTACCTCAAGAGTCTTATTTTAATTATTCTTAAATTCGTTCATAGTGGATATTGTGAAATAAAATTGGTGTGATTCTGGTTACAACCATCTGCGTAACTGAAGAATTAGTGGAATATTTAAAATGTACGCTATTCCGGTCAAGTGGACGTGAGAACTTTATTGTTGTGTTGACTACCTCACAGAAGCTTATCGAAAAAACCAACTCGATACATTTCGTGCCAAACATTCCAAATGCGCATTACACCGACATTCTAATGTAAAAAAAAGATAACTAGACTAGGCTGTACGGGCATTGTTTCCTTTACCTTCCCTAAAAAGGAAGAATCTTAGAAAAAGGCATAACCTCAAATTATTAATGTCAGTTTAGTTTTATTTACCAACTCAACGGCTTGTGAGTTTTGACCGAATCTATCTATTTATTATAAAGTAAAATCTTCAAACGTTTTCACTCTGTATCAGTTTTTGCATAGCTAAATTGAAAAAGTTTTATTTAGCTAATCACAAACAGCTTTTTCTATCTGAAAATCTGCAAGGATAAGAAGAAAGGTTCTATCGTTAAGCGTAGCATTTAATTCCGAAACAAGATGTTCAATCAACTAGGCAGTACGACTAACAATCCCAACAAAGACATGGAGGTGACATCTCCGCCGGACGACACCGTGTCCTCGCTGGAGTTCTCGCCGCCTTCTGTGCCGCAAACCTTCCTCATCGCCGGCAGCTGGGACTGCAAAGTACGTATTGAATATCAACGAAACTTTCAATAATCCTCATTTTTATCAAATACGACAGCTTGTGAACTTCCGAAATCTTGCAATAAAATTAACTTGTTTTTAAAAATCACATAATTTTTATAAGAATCATCTGTTCTTATTTCAGGTACGATGCTGGGAGGTGGAAGCTTCGGGCAAGACTGTGCCAAAAGCAGCACAAGGAATGGATGGCCCAATACTTGATGTAGCTTGGCATGATGTAAGTGTTTTAACAAATGAATAATAATAAGAATTAAGTATTACATTATATTGTGTAATTTGTAACTTTTACAGGATGGTACAAAGGTGTTTATGGCTTCAACTGATAAAAGTGTGAAGTGTTGGGACCTTGCAGCTAACCAGACCATACAGGTAAGACGATGCATTAGTTATCAAAGTGTCCATCAATGTAAGACCATACCTATCTTAATTAACTGAATGCAAAAAAAACTGATAAGCACAAAAGTTTTTTTTGGTGTATGTTAAATGTATGATAAATGTATTTTAAATTAGGTAGCTGCACATGATGCACCTGTGAGGACGTGCCACTGGGTCAAAGCACCAAACTACACATGCCTCATGACAGCCTCTTGGGACAAAACTCTCAAGGTATGAAATTAACTCTCTAGGTATGAAGTAATACCTTAGTAAATAAATAAAGAAATATCAATATGTTATTATTTAATTTTTTAAGCTACCAAAACAACTGATGGTGTAGCTTCTAGACATTCATGAGTGCTTTTAACAGCCTTAACTGAATAAATAATTTTGATTATGATTATAAATAAAATAAGTATCAAAAGAAAATTTTGTTCCATACCTGCTACCATTGCATTTACCTGGGTAGCACTGCTTCAATTCCAGCATAGTACCTGGGACAGGTTAATTTAATTCAATGAAATTTTCTTTGGCTTATGTTTAAATGATATCCAAAAAATATGACTGCTAACCTAACTTAACCATTTGGTTCGCAAATTGTACTTTGTTTGGTGATCATTTAAATATTTTCCATTTTCTTTGAATATCAACAAGTAATTATAAAAAAAAGACAAAGTGTCATATTAATATACTCTTGTATAATTCTTTATTGCAGTTCTGGGATACCCGCAGTCCTGTGCCTAGTATGACAATGAATTTGTCAGAACGGTGCTATTGTGCAGATGTCGTAAGTACATTACATTACATAAACATGAAAGTATCAGTAATGAAATGAAATTATCATCTTTTGCCTAAATTTGGCATCAACAAGTTATTAACTAGTCAATAACTGGTCGATATGCAATGTGTTTGTTTTAACAATCCAATCATTGTATGAGAATTCAGTATCAATAAGAAATGTGGAGTCGATATTGAAGTTGTATTCGAGACTGCTAGAATTCTGGTATTCTGGCCAAGGCTGTATGCCTTGGCCAGAATACCAGAATTGATGTGAGATGTCTATTGACATGTCACGGCAGCATTATGCCGAGGCAAGGTCTTGATTGACCAATAATGTTTTAGTGTATATTGTGATGTAGTTTGTTCTGTTTATTTTTCTTTGTTTATGTTAGTGATTGTAGTCAATAAAATTCTCCGTTATCTCTCCCTTTTCTCTCTGTCTCTCTCCTTTCTCTTTGTCTATTTCCTCCGTGTCTGTCTCGCTTTCGTCTCTTTCTATATGTAAATAAATAAATATTTCCAACATACACCAATTAGCCTAGCCCCAAAGTAAGCACTTTATGGTTTGTGTTATGGGATGCTAGGGTAACGGATAGAATACACATACATAGAAATACATATTAAAAATCCATGACCGGAGTGCAAATGCCCGTATTCATCACACAATCATCTTCCCCCACCGGGATTCGAACCCGGAACCTCTCGAGTCGGCGATACCACGAAATCCGGCGTACAAACCATTCGGCCACGGAGGTCATCGTCACTCCTCCGTCAGTGTCTCTCTCTCTCTCTCTCCTCCCTTCTCTTTCGTTTCGTTTGTCAACAATGATACACAAAGCGGAGCCTCGGTGGTGCCCCAGGACTACCCGATGGCAGTGGTAGGCACGGCGGACCGCGGGCTGTGCCTGTACACGCTGGAGGGAGCCCCCGCAGAGTTCAAGCGCGTGGAGTCTCCGCTGAAGCACCAGCACCGCTGCGTGGCGGTGTTCCGCGACAAGAAGACCAAGCAGCCCGCGGGCTTCGCGCTGGGCTCCGTGGAGGGCCGCGTCGCCATACAATACGTCAACCCCACCAACCCTAAGGAGAACTTCACCTTCAAGTGTCATCGGTCCACCGGCACCACTGGAGGGTATCAGGTATATTTTTTTTCAGCTTTTAACTGCTGGACGTTTAAATCTCAAGAAACTTTTACTAGAAAATATTCCATGCGAACCGGGCAGCGGAGGAGACTCGAATCCACACTTTCCGCTGCGATATATTATAGCAGATTTTTGTCTAGTAAAATTTTCTTTAGAGTTATCGTTTTACCTACCATCATATTATAAGAAAACTAATATTTAGCGCTATTCTATGAAATAACATGAAACAAACACGCCGAGCGGACGCCCGCTACGTGCTCCCGCTTAAGGCCCTTTTCACATGCACACTGTCACGGCACGGCCGCCATGCCGTGCAACCGTGCTAGCTCTTTCACATGTATACGGCTTACACACGGTCGCCGGCTATGGATGTTGCAGTATTATCGAGAATTTTGGGGAACGACGACGTCTTTTATCATGGAACAAAAAAAGATTCTTTTCATTATCATCTAATTCTTCGAAACTACTATTTAATCTTATACATACTTCTTTCTACGGTCCTTTTGTCTCGTTCCTGTTTTTATAAGACGCGCTGGTTTTATCCCATAAAGTGGGACGCGCTTCAACTAGCGACATCAACACTGTAACAATCGTCCGTCCGTTCCCCTATGACTTTAACTGACGAATGGTATTTGCTAGGCATGCGTCCGATATATCATAACGAATCCAAAATCCGATTTCAAACACAAATCGATACCGAACGATTTCTCAACAAGAAAATCCGATTTCAGAAATCTAACCGAACCAAAACGCTAGCGATCTAATACCACCACAAGTATCCAAATGTAAATCGGATTCGAAATTCGTACTTTCGTTTTCGGAAGTCCGATTTCGTGCTCGGAAGTCCGATTTCGGTTTGCTGTTTACGGAAATCTATTATTCTTCTCTAAGGCGGGATTATTAATTACTGAAAAAGATGTCGTCTAAAAACATCAAAAGTCGAGCAACTGACATTTTTTGAACGCTAACCTGAAGTAATTAGGTTTGATTTTGTAAATGGTTTGAAAATAATAAAATCAAACAGAAAAATAAAAAAAAATATGTAAAAAGAAATCATTGTATATAAGCCGATTTTTAAATGCGCCGCTAAAGTTTTACTTTTAACCGTAAATATAACTTTTCTGCTAGTCCTAAGCCACAGAATATATACTCTTGCCTAAGCCTAGATTTAAAGCATAAAGGAAAATCGCGCAAATCTACGAGTATCCTTGCTTCCTACAATTAATTGTTTGTGATTGTCGTTAGCTAATAAAACCAAATCATAACACAAACTAGTGAATTGGCTAAGTTCGGCACATCTGAAATCGGATATCTAAAAACGGATTTTAAAATCGATTTTGAAATCTGAAATCCGATAAATATCCGTTTGCGTACAAAACCACAAACGCCCATGTCTAGTATTTGCGCTCGCCGTGCCGTACCGCACCCGTGTTCATGTGAACTCGTCTATACAAGTCCATACAAGACTATAAAGACGGTCGCCGCGTCAAAACCGTGCATATAGTGGATAGGGACGGCCGACACGCGGTCACGGCACGGTCGCCGTGCAATGTGAAAGCTCTCATTGTTGCTCATACATTACTATTTTACACGGCACGGCAACCGTGCCGTGTCCGTGTACATGTGAAAAGGCACTAAGGCTGCGCAAGCCGTTATCGATGCGCGTGTCCCGGGTCATATACGCGGCGACCGACGTAGCGTTCCAGCCGGCACACGCGTCTATCCCATTTGCCTAGTACTAGAATCTTTTATTTTGTATTTTAGATACTTTTTGTTGGGTGTCTATTATATATCTGCAAGTAGTATGTCCAGTCGTCTGTCTGTGCCCCACAGGACATATACGCGGTGAACGACATCGCGTTCCACCCGGTGCACGGCACGCTGGCCACGGTGGGGTCGGACGGATCGTTCTCGTTCTGGGACAAGGACGCGCGCACCAAGCTGAAGCCCTCGGAGCCGCTCGACCAGCCCCTCACCAAGTGCGCCTTCAACCACACGGGGCAGATCTTCGCCTACGCTGTCGGCTACGACTGGTCCAAGGTATGTTACCCTGCTCCGCTCTGCTCTCTTGTAGCGCTGTTGTTCAAGTTTCCCATACAAAATTTGACATTGAAATTTCAGACCATGTAGCTATTCCACATGGAACTATTATAACCTTCAAAATTTATATTTTGTCGCATTAATTATATGTAATTTTACATAAACTAGTTTTATAGCTGACATTTCTTTCATATGCAATTATTTAGTCCCATGATGTATAGACCATACCTAATACTGGGTTTCGAGATGTCGCCTACTCAAAGATCACGGCTTTCAATTCCGATAGGGCCAATGTTTTATGATTATACCTATACAAGTATTTGTACTTAACTAGTCATTCATGTTTATATCTATTACTATATGTCATCAATATGTTATTAGTTTTTCTATTATATCTGTTACCCTAGCCTAGTATCCCATAACACAAGCTAGGTTTTTAATATTGTTGCTTACAGTGCCTACTTTGGGGCTAGGCTTATTGGTGTGTTATTGGTTTGTGTTAAAGGGTTTCTCTGTTAGCACCCGACAATACTGAGCCAAAGCACAAGTACCAGCATATTTGTGGCCCGTTCCCTCTACTCAATCTGTAGGGACCGGCAGTAGGACTTTAACGAACTGCTGAAAAAATTCATGCATATTCCTTAATACTGTCCCAATTACTCATGCCAACAAATAATGTAACTAATAGTTGTACGCATTTGCCTATAGGGTCATGAACACTTCAACCCTGCCAAGAAAAGCTACATATTCCTCCGGCCTTGCTATGAAGACCTCAAACCAAGATCAACGTGAAGAAAATTTGTTTTGTAGTTTTATCTTTTTGTAAAAAAATATTTGTAAAGCCAATAAAATTTCAGTTCTCCATCATATAATGTACAGTATCAGTGCCACAAGCAGCATTCAATCCTGATAGTGTAATTATTTCAAATCTATGATATTGTACAAATGTATTTGTTTCACTAAGATTAAAAAATAAAATTGTTTTTTATTAAATTTATTGTAGCTTAGCTTTACTAAATCCATACCACATAAAATTATATTTATGTAATTTTAATAATAAACTATGAGAATAATAAGACTTATTAAATACTTGGCTCTGCTCCCAATTCAAAATGTAGAAGAACTTGTGTTATAGGACAGGCATCAGAAGCTATAAATGTACCACAGACCCTAGAGCTGAGACAATACAGAAAATTCTAATTAACTTACTTCCTCCTGGTTTACCCTCAAACGCGGAGTCTAGCTTCACTTAAGAGTGGTGGATTAGGATCGTTAAATCATTTGTTTGTTTTCGTCACAACTTACATTAGGAATTGGCGTTTTTAGTATATGAGACATCATATACAAAAATGTCACATTGTTAACAAATTTCGATTTTGAGATAGACTAACAAAAACTATCTAAAAATTACACCTTACCCCCCATTTCTTTGCTATTCCAAATAAAAATATAATTATATCCTAATCAACAAACCTAGACAAAATCTTTTATTCCCAGTCACACCCATAGGATTTTCCACTGAAGGCAAATAGGAATAAAAAAAAACTTAATTTTTATTCCCCATGGCCCCTTTGCAGATTGTCTCTAGAGGCAAATTGTAATAAAGTCATTACCCCCACTTTAGTGTTTTTATTCTCATTTGCCTACAGTGGGAAACTATCATTCGCTTCCTATGGGTGACTGTAAATGTAGCACATACTGGGGTAAAAAAAAATATATATTCTCCTTTCATGTATTATTCTGAAATAATACTTTAGAGTTTCTTATTCATTAAAACATGTTTTTATTTGAAATTAAATTTGTATATTAGGATGCTATTTAAATTTTTTACATTATTAAAGGTAACAATGACTATTCCTCAGTGCTCCCCGTCCCCGTGTGCACCATGGCCGTGTCCTCCGCTGCCTGCCAGTTTTTCAATGCCAACAGTGAGCACTGTCAAAGCCAGCCCAATTGAAAAACCTCTGAAGAATACATTACGAGCACGGCCCCATTTCGTACCAAACCCAGGGTGATACCTCCACGCCTCGTTCCTAAAATATTCACATTATCATTTTAATTATCTGGCTTAAAATATCGTAACAATAAAGTAGTGAGGGCTTTCAGACGTTACCTGATCCAAGGGTCTTTAAGTCCTTTTTGAGCCAATGCTTTCTCGAGTTCTTCTAACTCTGGTATTCCTTTTATTTGAAACTGAGAATAGTGGGGGACTTTATACGGAGGCTCATGCCCGTGACCACCCATCACAATAATCTGTAAAAAAGCAGTCTGAACAATAACAACATAACCTAAAACAAGTTACATAATTCATACTTAGAAGTTATTTAACATTATCCAATCAAATAATGTTTTTGAAATCAGGCATTTTTACCTTTTTTAGTCTGCTCAACACAACAAAATACAGTAATGTTATTCAGCAAAATTTCTAAATTAATTTGAAAGATGAAAAATTGGTAAAGCAATGTCTGTCACAGATGACAGCTGTCTCATCTGTCAAATCAACAAAAAAATGAGCACCAAGGATGTCTTGATTAAATATTTAATCAAATAATCAAATTTTATGCATATTAACCGATATGTTCAAGTATTGACATATTTATGATAAGCATAGAGTATACTAGTATATAGGGAAGATAAGTTCCAGTTGAGTTCACGTAATTTTCCAAATTGCAGAGCAGAGATTCAATTAGCCAGAAACAATTGACAGACATGATAAAATAAAAGACCATGTTTGATATTTTATTTTTATTTTAACGTAGATTCTAATTATCTTTAATTAATTTATTTATTATTATTATTATTTTATATTATTTATTTATTATTATTTTAAAATATTTTATTTACTATTTAAGATAATTTTATTCTTAATATAGTAGAGGGCGTAGTTCGTGAAACGGAAAAGTATTTTGGGGATTGTGAAGAAAAGTAATAATGTCAATCAAACCAGAAATTACAAATTTCCACATTGGATATTGGACGGTACTGTAGGGCTTAATCTGAAGGGAAGCCCTGGGGGGCAACACTCAAATGGTAGGGAATAATAACGAATAAGACTTTTGACTTTGTTTATTTGAATTCAGGGGGAATGTAATAATTTTTAACTAATAGACAACTACTTGTTCTTGTAGAGTAACTGGATTTGGGAAACTAACAATTAATATTTACTTTCGTACATCTTCTATAAATATACAGTCGTGGTCCACAACCTTATTGTCTTGTACTTTATTAGACACCAATAACGCGCAAACGTACTAGAAATTTTGGGTAGGGATAATTATTAGACAAAATCAACTTAAAAAAATATACAAAATAAATAGATTTGAATAAATATTGGTGTCGATTCTAGCAGGATTCTCTAAACTTAAAACTAAATTAAATATCAGTCTGTCCTTTTCATTCTGTATAGAGAATGACGAAGATACACTGTTGTCAAATTTAAGTTTAGCTGTAGAGAATCATGCCAGATTCGACATCATTGTTTGTTTTAACAAACCGATTTATGGTCAAAATATACCGATATTACTATTATACAATTCTACTGTTATCGCATTTTTAGATTATTGTCTGTGGAGTAATTAGTGATGCTGATTTGAAATTCGATCAAGTGAGAACAAATGAATTTTATTCAAATCAATTACTCTAATCATACATAGCTGAAGGGTACCGCGACACCTACAGGAACCTCCTTACAAGTTGCGCTCTCTGGGAATCGAACCCCGGATTAATCGGCTCACAAGTTTTATTTTATAATATGATAAGCGTGCTACTTAGTTAAAGGTATAACGCAAGAAACTTTAGACAATTACAGAGAATAATAAGTTAATTAAAAACAAACAAAACAGTATCAACATAACCATAAATCTTAAGCAAAGCTAAGCGTAAGCCGATGAGAGCGTAATGGTCACGGAGTCCCGGAGATCTTGTTTTATAAGCGGGGCGTCTGCGGCAAGGGAACACTTGTCGCCATCTCGAATTAGAAGGTGCTACGCCGCCGTAGGTGTGGCCACTACAGCCCGTTGTCTAATGACGGCGCACTGTGAGCAGCCATCATGCTGCTGCAGGCGCGGGAACAATAGACGGCTGGGAGACCAGTCGCTGTAACTTTACAACGTATTATTTTCATGTGTGGTCCCACTGCACAAGCACAGTGGTTGCGGTAGCGGGTTTGAGCCGCTACATAGCCTTAGAGCACAGATTTTATAGGTTGTTCTGGTCTGCTGTCGATTCTGGAATGATTATCTCAATTTAAAACTAAATTAAACATCAGTCTCTCGTTTCCATTCTGTACAGAGGATGACAGGCATACACGGTTGACAAATTTAACTTTAGGTTTTGATAATCATGCCAGAATCGATATCTTTGTCTAATAAACCGTGGGCCTCCAAAAGAGCGGCAAACTTGAAAATTCTCTAGCTGTAAATACCGCAATAACGACTTAAAGACGGACTTTTTGGCGGGATCTTGAAGCGTGACTTTAACAGTTTTGTTTTTCTTCTTAAAAATTGTGATGTGGCGAATGTTAGTGTCTAATAATGGTGGATTATTAACCACTTAGTGTTCGGGAACATGCACAAGTGTTAGCAAGTGAAACAAAATAGCGGAAAGTGTCTTTCGACGTTCCCTCAAGAAGTCCACGGGGAGGTTCCCGTAAATCCCCACACTTTAACTGAAACATAGGGAAAGGGGGATTGACTTAACTGCCACTTATTTTGATTTGATTTATTACTTTGACCACGAGTGCTTTATTATTTGTAAACATTTTAACACTTGACATTGGCTAAATGCACAAACCGTGCGAAGCCATTTAGAAAAAAATAGACTTGATACTTCAAATTAACAGATTAGTGAAACATTACAGTGCGATTCAACTATGAATAGGAAAACCAATGACCTCCAACCTGTCAAATGTCGCTTGATTAGTACGGTTTACAAAAAAATCTTGGAACCTTTTTTTAGCACTCGGGTAATTTTAGAATAAAAAACAAACATTTGCAAACGATCAAAAACAAATATTGATAAAACGTACAAATTTTGATATACCTAAGTATTAATAACACGATTTAAATAGGTAATAAAAATAGGTAACTAATAAAACCATGAATAATTTATAATAAATAGACAAATAAATACTTACTGTGTTCCTTCTTATGGATCTAATTAGAAAAAAATAAGAAGCTCAATATTCAATTAATGCCTAGATATTTATGTGTTAAGTTTAATTGTTGTGTTGAGGCAAATGTAAACAGAGCCTCAACACTTTTGTTAACTTAAATTTTTTTTAACGTCGGTTTTGTTACTGACCCTATTTAGTTTTTAAAGATTTTGTTTAATTTTGTTGAAAAATTCTTTACTTTAGGAATATACTTGGTTTTGGTTATTAATATTAATTATTTAACAAATTCTGAACATGTTCTTAATATGTTTTTGTTCATTTTATATCATAAGCATGAAATACAACTGTTGATTTGAAGACTAGTAACAAACCCGAAAGATAATTGTATTTTTAACTGTTTTCTAAAATTATTTTGTAATTTTTTAATTCGTTATGTGATAATAATAAGACTATATTTTTCAAATAAATATATAAAAGTGGTAGAATTTCTCATGGTTTTATTTATTATTCGACTCTTAAGTATGATAACAAAACTGACATAAATTCATACATACCCCTCATATTTTTACATTTTAACAAATACATATATACTATTTCTACGTATATTATTGTACGTAGAAATAGTATATATATATATATGTAATATATATTTTTGACAAAAAAAAATTTAGTCATATTTTCATCGGTTTATTGTTTTAAAGGTTTATGGTCACTAAAATTACAGTAATATAAGTTATTTACGGGATTTTTACCATGTACCTTGTTTTTAGCGAGTTTCCGATATTTCGGCATTGTCATCAGTAAAATCAGGTAATTCGATTCGCAACAAACAGACTTTTTTTATTAAAGAGAGGCGAAGGAATCCATACATACGGCCATCTCGCGAGTTTTTCCATAATTAACCCTTTAACCAGCATAACTCTTATAATACGGGTACATTCAATTAACTGTGAATACTTTTTTGGTTTATACCAAAAAAATTACTAAAATCGAATGTCGATTTTCAAGGGTGAAGTATTATTTCACTGAATCGATTCAGAACTACAAATCGATTTATATAATCGATATTTTGGGCTCCAAAAATCTCAGTTCGGCATCCCTATTTCAGTAGTTCGGTGAACGCGCGTAGGCGGCGCAGGTGTTTTAGCGTTATCTTAACGTAAACAAAAAAATAACAAGTGAAATTTTCGCTGTAATAAAAGATTTAACTATGAATGACTTATTTGTTAACATTGCATAAATGTACAACTAATTGTCCTCATTGAAAGGGACAACTGCGTTACTTTTATAAAAAGTGCCGCTCGCTACCCAGTGCTAGTGCTCGCTACCTACTACAGAACGCATCTTGTTGTGTTCATAAGTGGTTATTGTGACTGCATGTGTGACTGATTGTTAGCGACTACTATGAAATACAATAAAAACTGATGTGTGTATATTTGAAAGTGGCCCGGCTGTGGCTGGCAGCGGCGGTGGCGGCGGCGCTGGTATCAAGCGCGCCCGCCGCCGGCTCATATCTTCAGCTTCCCGGTGAGTCTTCCAACTTCCCAAACCTACGACTAAAGTACATTGTAGCGTATGAGGGTTCGGTTCTTTATTGAGAGATAATATTAATATTTTATCTGTTACTGCCAATTCTCAATGCATAGTTATTTATATAAATAACAAAATATTTTTGCTGAATTGTGTTTATCTGCCCAGTAATAATACTAAGTTCCAAAGTAACTTAAGACAGTCCCTCTAGATCATGTAGCTTACTTAAATACATAAGGTTGTGGCAGAATATCAGCGACTTCCGATAAAACGGAGGTCTAAAGCTGAGTCATATTCCCTTTTTGTTCCCAAAAATTTGGTATGTCAGATTTTAAGTTTATATATTTGTATATGTATTTTTTTGGAGCAAATAAATACTTATTATTATTATTATTACAAAAAGAAATTAACTACAACAATAACATAATTTCTGTTATGGACACCACCACATTAATGGCTTGATTGAAATATATTGTCTTGCCTTAAATTTGGAGTAGATCTTACATTATTTAATTCCATTTTAACATTGGTGTTGTTTATGCAATAATCAGATGTTGTCAGAATAAAACAAAAAGAAATTCTGTTATAATAAAATTGCTAATCTTTATGCGTGCCTACTATATATTGTATTCTTTAAAGTATCTTTAATTTATCAAGTGCCCAGTTAGCTCCTGCTAGAATTGTACTGTGCTAAGTAAAAATAGTGGCATTATTGGGCACAACTTGTAAAAAGTTTCTTTTATTTTTTTGCATCTTGCTGTTTGGTCTGTTAGCCCCTTCCTCCTCATTGTGCCATCGAAACTCATTCCACCAGCGGCATGAAATGGATTTGTCTTTTCCAATCATACCACTAAATGAATGTTAGTCTACTAGTAACAAATAAATACAAACCTAGAAATTATTTTATTTCAAACTACATGATAAAAAGGGGGAAAAATTCCCTATTAGCACTTTGCCATTACTTTTATAATAAATTTATTTGGCCCTAGATAAAATCTCAACTCAGTCAACAGATTTTATAGAAATTGAATAAAATATAACATCAAAAACATAAATGTGAAGTGAGAGCCAAGTTCAATTTTATGATAGATGCCTTGTTTGTTGACTTCAACAACAAAGGAAGGCAGATCTAAATGGGTGCCAAGTTTAATAGTCTGTCCTGAAATTTATTTATAACAACTTAAAATATTTTTTTCTTAAAACTTAGAAATACATTGAATCCTAAGTTCTGACTTTGCCAGTTTTCATAGAATGACCCTGGAAACTATAGGCCTATATCAATATTACCGGTTCTTAGTAAAATATTTGAAAGAATTATTCTGGAACAATTGATGCCTCATTTCAACCTTAATAAACTTTTGCATAGGAAACAATTTGGTTTTACTAGAGGTAGATCTACTACTGATGCGGGTGTTGTTACTGAGGCTTGGGAGAGGTCGCAGAATGTCCTTGGAGTGTTCTGCGACTTATCCAAAGCTTTTGATTGCGTTGATCATCACATCACATCTGTTATTGAAATTGAGTCATTATGGAGTCAAAGGTACTGCATATAAATTAATACAGTCGTACACCTCAGTTCCAGAATACAAACTGTAGAGGTAAATGGTGTTAGATCATCTGGATCTCATGTGGAAATGGGCGTTCCCCAGGGTTCAATTTTAGGTCCCTTCCTGTTTCTAATATATGTAAATGATTTGCCATTTTTTGTGGAAAATTTGTGTGAGATTGTATTATTTGCTGATGACACATCTTTATTATTTAACGTTGACAGGCGCAAAAACAACTATGACGATGTAAATAATGCTCTCTCGCAAGTTCTGCAATGGTTTAATGTCAATAATCTAAAGCTAAATGCTAATAAAACCAAGTGTATTCAATTTTCCTTACCTAATGTAAAAGTTGAGCATATTGGAATTAAATTAAATAATGAAAAATTAGATTTAGCAGACTCGACTACATTCTTGGGTATAACGATAGACTCAAAACTGCAATGGAGTCATCACATTACGCTTTTGGCTGGTAAACTTAGTTCAGCAGCTTATGCCATAAGAAAGATAAGACAACTTACTGATATAGATACTGCCAGGACTGTATATTTTAGTTACTTTCATAGTATCTTATCATACGGCATTTTACTCTGGGGAACAGCAGCTGATATTGAAAGTATTTTCATTTTACAAAAAAGAGCTGTGAGATCTATTTATCAATTGTTTGACTGTTGCTTCTCAATTCATTTACAATTGCATACTCCTCGTTAAAATAATATCAATTTGTATACCAAACACAGTAACGTACACAATTTTAATACTAGGAATAGAAACAAGCTTGCATTGCCAGCCTACAGGTTACAGAAGCTTTACCGATCTTTTATGGGTCAAGGTATACATTTTTACAATAAAATTCCTGATGCTGTTCTTGAGTTACCCATAAATGAGTTCAAATGTCACATTAAAAGTTGTTTAGTTAAGAAAGGCTATTTATTATACTATTAAAGAATACTTGAATGACAAAACTGCATGGCTGTAACTGCAAAATTGTTTTGTACTTGTTTGCAGTGTCGTACAGATAAATTACCTTAACTCTAAGTAACCATTTTGCAGATTGGTTTTAGTTGTTATGGGTAGTCATGCTCTCTTAAAAATCTCTTCGGCGGTGTCGTGTGAGGCGGGTCGTTGCGTTCCCTAAAATATGGTTGAGCGAAGCGATGGCTGGTTCATGCGTCATGCTCGTGAACGGGTGCTGCCAGCGGAGATGAGTCTGCTCTATACTACTATATTATTGTAATGATAATTATTATTAAATTTTGATTGTATTTTACATTACACAACTTGTATTTATACTGTATGACACAGCAATCAAAATGTAAGTGAACATATATTATTTCTCTGATAAAGATTTAATGGCAGTGTGGATTCTGTTATGTTTTTCTAGACCTTGTAAGGTAAAAAAATAAAAAAAAGACTGTGACTATTTAGTTATTTCAAAAAAGAACGAAAAATTCTGGAGGTGGTGGCCGGTTGATGGTAGCCGATTTTAGCTTCTCAGCTTCCATTTAAAGTGAGAGTTGTAACGGGCGCCGGGAAGCTGGTGACATCTCCGGGTGTCCGGAATAACTTACGGGAACATCAGCTTTTAATCTCAAAGGCAGTTTTGACTAGGGTTGAATGATAAAGGTGTTTTCCTCTTCAATTATTTATTGTGAAAGTGTACATACCAGATTGGATTCCAGGCGTCAAAGTACATTAAGTATTGGATTTACTTAGACTATTATGACTGGTCCATGGTCAAAGATACCAAAATGATATTTATAAAGATTATAAAGAGTATAAAGATTATAAAGACCACTTAAAGAGTATAAAGAGCTGAAACAAAAGAGACATTTGTGAGACCAGGCAACATGGCTAGATATAAATGTATGACAATTTTAATCTTAATTCTTACCTGCAATCGCAGCTCTTTTAAAGTTTTACTAATGGGCCATTGGCACCAATATTAGTTTGCAAAAATGCGATGAGCGCATTTTTGGAAAAAGAAACCGAACTATAAATTATTATTATATTTCACATTTTTAAAAGTGACTGTTCGTGTCTGCAAAGAATCGAAAAGTAATGTTGCCAGGTCGCACTTCCAAAAACGCCGCGAGTCTCAGTGTTGGCGCATTAAAATTTAAATTTGGGCATGGACAAACCATAAATTACAAAAGTTTACTTAAATTTAGAATGACAATTATTACGTATTCATTTCAATGTTTTATGAAATTAAGACAATTTTTAAAGATGTGTTTCGTTTATTATTAAAAAAAAATAGGGAAAATCCTTAAGTGACGGGTGTCAAACCATATATTATTTATCTATGTATGTGACGGCGTAAATACGACGTTACAACCTGAACTTGGTTTTGCAGCGGTGTATCCTTGTCATTCTCTATACAGACTGAAAGGGGGGGGACTGATGTTGGATTGGTTTTTGGTTGGGAGAGTATTGCCAGAGTCGACAACAGTGTTTAGGTAATCACATGCATGTGTCCTGCCGTTGTGTTTATAGTTTGTTATAATAATGTACACTGGTACCTATATGTATATTTTTTTTATTTTAGTAACATAGTATCCATGTGTGGTTATGAGTAGTCATGCTCTCTTAAAAATCTCTTCGGTGGTGTCGTGTGAGGCGGGTCGTTGCGTTCCCTAAAAAATGGTTGAGCGAAGCGATGGCTGGTTCGTGCGTCATGCTCGTGAACGGGTGCTGCCAGCGGAGATGAGTCTGCTCTTAATTCACTGGGTACTACTATTAATCGTTGTTCTAAACTTTAATCGTTCATTATTATTATTTTTTTTTTGCCTAAACGGTAGGACACGTCATTCCTAAACTTTGTTAAACCATTTTTTTTTACATATTTTAATTTTTTATTTTATAGTCATAATTTTTATATTATTTGCATTTTTTTTGTTTGTAATGAAAAGTGACTTTATGAGCTACCTCATATTGAAGTCATTTTTCAATTTGACGACTCTGTATATAATACAGGGAGAAAAAAACAGCCCTTGCTGAGTTTCTTGCCGGTTCTTCTCAGTACAAGGTCTCCCGCCGTAGATTTGCGAACCGATGGCGTAGCTTTTCGACATTCACAAGTGCTTGTAACAGCCTAGACTGAAAAAAAAAAAAAAAAAAAGAAGCATTGAGTAACGCACCCGACAGATTAAAAGCACCGCGTACATACATCCCAGGACACCGCGAGATCGGACAGGACAAAAGTACGCGGGTGTGCCCAAAAAATTGGATTTTAGTGACTAGGCGCAGCGAACTTGTTCGTAATATGCGCTCGAGGATACACCTATTCCAGTGCATCCCAGTCGGGGGCGTCGCGGAATGGGCAGTATATATTCCTTGGAATGGGTTC